TCACTAACCTACTGTCAGCTTGGGACGACTGGACATCATGCTGGGACTTGAACGTACCAGTCCATGTGGTCTTCCTAGACTTTGAGAAGGCATTTGACACTGTTCACCATGACCTTCTCCTACATAAAATAAGCCAGGCAGGCATAGGTGAGCCACTTCTGTCATGGTTGAAGGACTACCTAGCCGACAGGCAATTTTGCACTAAGGTTAACCGAGTCCGATCATCTTGGCACAGATCGTCATCAGGAGTGTCGCAGGGTTCTATCCTAGGACCACTGATGTTTTTGATTTTTATCAATGATCTACCACGCCGTCTGAGCTGCCCGACTCTCCTGTACGCTGACGACGTAAAAATATGGAGGGCGATAAAGTGTCCGGAGGACTCAGATAGGCTACAGGAAGACCTAAACCTTCTGGAAGACTGGGCGGTGGCCAGTGGCATGACTTTCAACTTGAAAAAGTGCAAAGTAGTGAAGTTGCGCACCTGTAGACTGCAGAATGCAAGTTACACCCTGTGCAATGAAAGCTTGTCCTGCACAACGTCGGAACGCGACTTAGGTCTAGTTCTAACGGAAAAAATGGACACAAGCGTAAATTACACAGGGGATGTAGCGAGGGCATATGCGGTCATACACTTTACGCATAGACAGTTAGGTGCACTCACTCCTGAGCTCTTTCTAATGTTGTACAAAACATACGTCAGGCCACACCTTGAGGTGCATAATATTATTGCACCCCTAATGCTGAGAAGAGACGCCAACCTCTTGGAAAGAGTCCAACGACGGGCAACAAAAGGAGTGGTTGGTCTCCGAAACAAACCATATGATGAAAGGCTGAAGAAATTAGGCCTGTTCACACTTAGTTACCGTCGGCTTAGGGGGGATTTGATTACTGCCTACAAAATAACAAATGACCAGAATCACCCAAACAAAAGTGTTCTGCCATTGAGTAGGTATAGACTTCCACGTGGAAATCCCAGAAGGATAGCTCACCAGAGGGCAAGGACCCGGGTGCGCTCCCACTTCTTTTCACTGCGGGTTTGCCGTCCCTGGAATTCCTTACCGGCAGATGTAGCTATGGCACCGTCTGTTGACGCCTTTAAGCGAAGGCTGGACAACCATTCAGCGACACAAGGACTGCATCCAAATGGCCTATCCCCTTAAAATCGCATACACCATTCAGGGTAGATAATTAAACTCGTCGTTTTACTTCTTTACATTCTCTCCTGTCCTATTCTGCTAACAACTTTAACTACACTTATTATTATTATCATTATTACCTATATATATTATTCATATTATTCGTCAAAATTATCTCTTTTATTTTGACGACGATACCGGAGGACTAACTGGCGAAAGGATCAACTCCAATCGCAGTAGTAACAGTTTTAACACACCTCATACTAAAAACCACATATAATTAATCCCAGCACTACTCCCTTTGGAGTCAACCAAAGCTACGACAGTCGAGTGGTGGAACAAGCTACGCAGAAGTTTAGCGAAGATCAGGAACCTATACCTTACAATCAAGAAGCGAGCACAAAGAAATCAAATTGGTTTATACTAGCTCGTAAAAACGATATTGGATATTGGATAAGAGACCAGAGGTTTATGCAAGTTGATCACTGATTTATTGAACTTCGTGCATTTAACATTGAGTTTGAGGCGCGTGCACCGCTTTTTTACGGTGCTTTGTGCCTAGTTTGATTTTCGTTTGTCTGCTTTGCTGTAAGGCTCTTTAGACGATATCCTTTTGTTATATGTGTATGGTTCTTTATGTTTCAATGTGCCTAAATGGCCACTAAAGTTAAGAAGTAACAAGTTGAGTGCGAAAATGACAAAATCTAGCCATTATGAGTTAAAACTTACACGCGTTGCGAACGCTATTTACTAGTCTGTACTAGTAGTTGGAATTCGAAGTTGTAGCCATATTCACGTCGATAGTTGGATTGAAGCTTTAAGCCGAAAGGAGGTCTTGGTTACTATTTTGTATTTTCGCTCAATGTTTCGGGATGATGATCCCCAAACGTCACTTTTATGACCGTAGTTTTTGGTATAACTTCATCGTGTACTTTACAAGAGCATTATTACCATCCAGTCAGTCACATAATACATTTTGAACATAGATGATTGTACTACTGAATTTTACGTGATATGGTTAGCCTGCTCACCTATTGTGATTTTTATGAACTCTGGTTTAAATGATGCTTCAGATTATTGTTTTAATTTAATATTTCTGAGGTATTTTGTTGATATGACTTGATAGTAGTTAAACGTGCTTAGTTTTAACTGCTGACTCTAACAATCACAATGTATTAAATGTTGAGTGTTTGAGTATGTTTCTACGTTACTGTACGTATTTAAAAATAAATAATCATACGTTTTTTTCTGTATTAGGAATTTAGTCACTGTCAGTCAATACAACAGACTATGAGTGTCAAAAAAGTGTTGATCAAGCCTGACTTCTCCATATATCCTTAGTAAATATCACTTAATAATTACCTCAAACTATTACCACGCATTTTGTGTATAAAAAGTTAGGTGTTGAGTATTTCAAAATTCCTATTGAGTGTCCTTGAATACCTCTGCTTTAGTCCGGACACCTGATTGATGTCGTCAATCCTCGTACAATATTTGTTCAAGGTTTGACACTTGGAAAGTCTGTTCCGGGTAGCTAAGTTCTAACCATTTAGTTTTGAGTTCCTGAGGACTGTTTCGATAGCATGCTTGGTTAAAATTGTATCTTTAGGTGTTGGTTTGCAGGATTTTGACTGATTTCAAGTTTGGTTATATACTAACCCCACTGATGACACTGGCTGGTGGTCGTGTTATATATCACGAGCTGGCAGAAGTTAGAGCTGATATGCCATCGGTCTCTGTCCCAGCGGTTGGATAGTCAACAACCTCCTCTTGTAATCTGAAGGTTTTGGGTCTGGTCCTTGGTAGGGTCAAAGGTGCGTACTAACGAAGAGCCTTAAAAAGAACGAAACAGCTGGTTTTCAGTGGGTCTTAAACTGAGGTCGTGATGAAACTTGAAAAGTATATTTAATTTGGTTGACCGTCAGCATACTTCAGTGTCGCGCACTGTCCATATGTCTAGGTATGAAACTATATATATATATATATATGTGTCTGTTTTCGACGTAGAACTTTGCACATATGTGCGTCAGTTCAAGTCGCCACACCCTCCCTGTAGCACACAAAGCAAAAGAAGAAGGTAGAAGAAATGCATAATAGAGACAGTAAACAGAGGTGTGAGACGAAGGAATAGTAATAACGAAGACCGATATAGTTTCATTGGAAATCATAAGTCACAAGGAGTGGATGCATCTGCGCTAGCCACTGAGAACAATTTTGAGCCATATCATAAATTGTTTCCAACCATTAGTTTTTACCGTCCTGAGGACCCCTACCAGTCAGGAAGTCTACACCTGCCTAAGTGGCTGGCATAAACTAACTGTTGTGGATTTCATTGACTGGTGAGGCCATGTTTTTGTTTGACCTCCTCTAGCTCTTTCCCAGCCTGACCTTATGTCAGCTAGCATTGCCTGTCGTCGAGGAAGGCGATGACTAGGCATACGTAACACATGTCCTAACCATCTCAGTCGGTATAACTTGACACTCTCGTCGGTTTATTTCCCCTCCCACCCACCTAGAACTCCACCAGTGCCTAACCTCAATATTGCTCACCTTATTCTACCACTTCACACGGGAGATAGAGCGCAGGGACCTATGTCTCTGTCTGTCTGTTTTCGACATAGAACTTTGCACAAATGTGCGGAAGTTCAAGTCGCCACATTCCGTGTAGCACGCGAAGCAAGAGAAGAAAGTACAAGAAAAGCATAATAGAAACAGTGAGCAGAGGTGTGAGATAAAGGAGTAATAAATAAATACAAAACAGTTTCATTGAAGATCATAAGTCACAGGGAGTGGATGCATCTGCGCCACTGAGAACGATTTTGAGCCATGTCACCAATTGTTTCCAACCATAGATTTTTGCCGTCCCGAGGACCCCAGCCTGGAAGTCTACACCTTCCTACGTGGCTTAGACCAACTGTTGTGGATTTCATTGACTGGTGCCAAGTTTTTGTTTGACCGCCGCTAGCTTTTTTCCAGCCTGACCCTATATCCGCTAACATAGCTCGTCGAGGGAGGCGATGACTTGGCATACGTAACACATGTCCTAACCATCTCAGTCGATGTAGCTTCACGACTTCGTCGATTGATTTCCCCTCCTTACCTAGAACTCTACGCCTAACCTCCATGTTGCTCACCTTATTATGCCACTTTACACGGGAAATAGAACGCAGGCACCTATGATCAAAGGTAGCTAGTCTTTTCATGTCTTCCACTCTCAGTGGCCAGGTCTCACAACCATAAAGGAGGACGGAGCGGACTGATGAGCAGTACACCCGCCCTTTGGTCGATAGTCGAACATCTCGTCTACGCCAGAGTCGGCGTAAACTAACAAATGCGAAACGAGCCCCTTGTATTCGTGCTGAGATTTCGTCAGAGATCAGCCCGTTGGGGCTATGGTCAAAGGGACCTATGATCAAAGACAGCTAGCCAGCCTTTTCATGTCTTCCACTCTCAATGGCCAGGTCTCGCTCACAGCCATAAAGGAGGACGGAGAGGACTGATGAGCAGTACACCCGCCCTTTGGTGGATAGCCAGCCGGATATCACGTGTACGCCAGAGACGGCGTGAACTCGCATATGCGAAACTAGCCCTCTGTATCCGTGTTGAGATTTCGTCGGAGATCAACCCGTTGGCGTTGGCTGGGGGTACTTCCCAAGTAAGTGAAGCTGTCAACGTACTCTCTCTATATATGTAGACTTCATATGTTTTAGGAAATATTTTTAAATATTTAAATTCAAATTATCTATTGATACTTCATTTTTTTCTTTTACAGGTTGTTTCTTAGACAAACTCATTTAGACTTTGAAGTGTATTCTCATCTAGTATTACACAGCTGTGCAGCAGTAGTTTACACTCCTTAACATGATGGCGGTAGATACAGCGAATAAGTCATTGACATCGTTGTTGGAGAAGGTATTTAAAAAAATATTCCGTAATTAAATTAAATATTTTTATATTAGATGGTAGCTGCTGATACCGATTACAGATTTATGGCTATGAATGATCTTATCAATGAATTACAAGTGAATACACTTCGTTTAGATCTTCAAAGTGAGAAAAGGGTAAGTTTTCGATGTATATACTCCTCACATGTATCTAAACCTGTTTTTCTTTAGGTTGTCGGACTTATTCTTCGTCTTCTTCGAGATCCTAGTGGTGAAGTTCAAAGTCTTGCAGTACAATCGTAAGATAAACTTATCATTACCATATATTTATATATATATTTGCGGCTTAACAGGTTAGGTCCGTTGGCAACCAAAGTGAAAGAACAACAAATTGTTACCATTGTCAAAGATCTTGTTGGTACTATGGAGAAGGGTGGTGAAGGACAACTTCGCAGTATATGTAGTATTGGTAAGTTCTTGCATATGAAAACCTCTGTATTGCTTATAACTGTATACATCTCACGATTAGTCTCCTGTGTAAGTTTTCACGTATAGATCAAATTACAAGACCCCCGTTTAGCTACCCTTCAAGCTTATTACTTAGTTGGAAAGAGGAGGTTTATCTTTTACACGTACTTCTTGCTTAGATGGAATTATTGATTCACTCCCTCTCTCCCACTCCTTGATATAAATTTTATTTAGGAATTCTGAAACACCACATATTCTTTGCTTTTTGGGGAGTTGAACCTACACCTTTACTCGGTTTCTTGATGCTTTCTGGATGTAACGCAGACTACATACTGTGATTTGAATGTTTTTGATTGCCAGAAATCTAGTGAGATTTCCGTTTGAATTGTACGTTTCTCCGATATCTAATTATATTCCAACGTAGGGTTGGAAGAGAGTTGCGGGTGGTCATGAAGTCTTTGGCAGTTGTTTTGAGTTGATCACATAGGGAGGTGCAGGCTGCCTAGAACCAAATGCCTGGAGACAATTGGTGATATGGCTCAAGGTGATTCACAGTTGCACAGAGATTTTCACCCTTTGTGATCTCCCAAATCCAATAAACCCCCATGTTTTTCCCATTTTACCATTGTTTCTCCCTCACATTTCTGCTCATTTTAATTCTTATGAATATCTTTCTACCTAATTTGCCTGCCTTTGTGTGGATTTTTGGATTTTGGCAACGTGAACTGGTGGACTTTTCTGTGTAAAGTTCTACATTGAAACTCTGTTATTCAGTCATTCCGAAATTATGTTTCATCAGTCTTCACGCGCTTTCGTGAACACGAATAGACTTCACGTCTGTTTACCAGGTATGCTGGTATGTATTTGAGGGATAAATAGAGTGATAGATCACAAAAGTAAGGAGAATTACTTGAGAGAATAATTACTTTAGCATAAAACTAAAGCTTGATTAGTCTTCATTTGTTGAGAAGTCTTCTAAATGTATTCCCATACCAGTATTCCGCTAGCGTATTCAGAAAGTCTTTGGGTCATTAGACATATTTAACCGTCTATTAGTAATTCCATTTTGAATTTTCAGTTTCATTTTTCATGTTTGTCGTCTTTTTTATTTTTAACAAAAAATCTTTGTAGGTCTCAAGACTGTTGTCAATGCTTTGCCTAATGCAACTGATATGGCTGTGGTTCAATCAGCTGTTCGTGAAGCTGTTTTACCTCTGCTTCACATGGTTATGTCGCACAATGATGATAATGTACGCGTTGAAGCTTGTGAAGTTTTAGCTGAAATTATTAATCAGTAAGTGATAGATTTATATTTTCCTTAGTTTATTTTTGGGCGAAGTTCAGCAATAGCGTGTGAGCGTGAGCGCTCCAATGACCTTGAACGCATGCTAGTTGTTGGCTAACGATATCTGTCATTATCATAGGTGAAATATCAATGCTGTTTACCAACTTAGGAGCAAATTTGATTCAGATCACGTTTTTAAGTACTGTTTGAACAGTTTGTTAATAGCTCGTTAGGATTAGGGTTAAGTATCGGGGTTAGGGTAAGGATCAGGGTCATAATTAGCATTAGGGTTAGAATTATGGTTTGGATGAGGGTTAGGATTAATGTTAGGTTCAGTGTTAGGGTCAGGATTAAGCTTATGGTTACGATTAGGGATAGATTTATAGTTGATGTCATTTATTTTAATTTTGATGTGGTTTTGTTCTCTGAGCTGGATGGTTAGTTTGCGAAGCTTTCATCACCTTACTGGGTGACATCTTCAGCGCATACTTCAATTTGAAGTGAGCTTATAGATTTCTCCACGAGTTTATTAATCATCACTCCTGGTGACCTTGGACGTGATTGGTTGTTTGTGTGTGTTTTCACACCTTCTAGGTTACTTGTATTGGAACTGATTGTTTCTTTGACTTGAACTTTGACCCTTTGTGTGTGAAGTTTCTTTCTTATTGGTTGATAACTTTTGTCTATCTCGATGTGTCTATTGATTGATGATTCACTGGAATGCCAAGCTTCTAAAAATTCCCTAGCATTCTTGTTATTTCCTTTGTCTAATATTTGAACGTTGTCCCAGTCGAATTGATGTCCGTGGTTGTCTGTGTGTAGTGAAATGAGGGAGTGGATATCATGTCTTTTGACGGCTAGCTTATGTTCGTGGATACGAAGACGAAGGGGACGTCCACTTTGGCCAATGTAGTGTTTTTCACAGTTGTTACAGTTTATTTTGTAGATGATGTTGGTTTTGTCTTCTTTCGCTGTTGAGTCGTTTGGTTGACATAGAATTGAGTGCAGCGACTTTGTTGGTTTGTGTATGACGTCAATTCCTAAAGGTTTGAAGAGTCTTGTAGTGATTTCTGAGATATCCTTTATATATGGTAAGGCGAATTTCTTTGTGCTTTCCTTGGTGGCTTTTGGTTTGGTAGGTTGGTTTGGGGGTATATGTCTCTCTTTGTTTTATTATCCACGTTTTCCTGGTAAGTAGTCATCGATCCTCTTACTACAAACCATAGTAATTCAAACGAGGGCTTAGGGGAGGACTGCACAACAGGATGGGAGAGATGGACGATCCAAAAAACAGCTCACCTTCCATCACCTCGGTGAATACATGTAGGTAAACTAGTCTACCTTAGCAATGATACTCCTCATTATAACTGGGGCGTATTTTTTTTAAATCGTGTCAGAGAAAGATACCCTTTTTAATGTGTTTTCATGCATTTTCTTGTAAATATAAGTCATTTTTCATGCAAAAATTCCTCATTTTTATGATTGGTCAGCTGCAGGTCACTCGTGCGTTCGCACTCCTGGGACGCTATTGTTGAACTTTGCTTATTTTTGTTCATGTCTTCGTTTGTCTATATTTTCCCTTGAAGTCTCATGTGTGCTGTCGATATGGAAGTTGCTTATTGGTACTGTGAAATTTATTTTCCCTGAATGTCGATCTAGAAATCATTAATTAGTGTGATGATGTGGTGAGTAGTTTGGAAGTTTTTTGTCAGCTAGATTGAAGTGATCTTAAGCAGCAGGCGGCCGTTTGAAGTAGCTAAGCAGAGGATCCCGTTGGTGTAAGCTGATTTGTCTCTCTGAGCTGAGTCGATACCGTGTAAGCTTCTGGTGAACTCGGCAACAAACAAATGATCACTAATGGCTGATTATGAGTTGTTACAAACTAAAGTATGTATACCTGCCACTGTACAGGGACCCAGTAGTATTCAAGTTAATTTAACCTAATGGTATAATGTCGACGAGAAGTCAGCTTCGGCAATTAGCATTCTACTTAGCAGTGTAAGCATAGATTTTTTTAGTTAGGAGATTTAGGGTTAAGAGATTTTAGAGTTCCACATCAAGTGTTGAGAATTAGTTATGGTTAGTAAGTTAAAATTCACTCATCAGGAACATATATGAGTTACACTTACTGTATGTGAGAGCTGGTGATAATGAGTTTCAGTCATTATTATTATTATTATTAAAAGCACACTTGGTACATTGTGGACTCCAATAGATGGGCAAATTGTTGTTATTGTTGGGATACTTCCTGGATTGAAGCAGGTAGTTGTCTGGAGTCGGCCTCCTAAGCCTTTGACCGGAATTCTGAACCACACATAAGTAGGCCAGCATCAGAAACTGCCTTCTAATGGATCCCGGTGACTAAAACAGGTTCATACACCATTCGATCCTTTCGGATTCTGGAGCCCATGTACACCATAGGTTTGCAATCAGCGTTTTCTAGCTCCCTTAGGTAGACCTGCATGTCCAGTAGTCCAGTTGTAAGCTCTGGACGTTCGAATTCGCCGTTCCACTTTTATGAGTAACACGGGTCACGTGAAGGCAGCGAACAGGACTTACGGGGCTGGCAGAGGCTATGAGAAGGCGTGGCCACATGACAACACTGGAAGAAAGATTAGATTTAACCCACCCTTGACTGTACCAGGTTTTTTATAGAGGTGGTAAATACGCACACTTATTTGGGGGGGGGGGGTAATCTAATTCTCTGTCACTAGGTTTTCCACTGTTTTGCTCTCATCAGTGAAGCGTATTTACTACATTAGGAGGAATCAGTACTCTCACTTAGATTGAAATCATGGTGACTAGAGATTGAAAATCGATCCGCTTAGTTTAATGAATTCTAATTTATGCTTTGTGATATCGTGTTGTTTGATGTTATGAACACATAAACACACTGATTGATAGAATTCTTGAACAAAGCAAGAACAACAATTGTACCAGGATAATAATATGAGCTCATCTTTTAATTATTATTTCGAGGATTCTTCTCAACTGGTTACAACCTGAACGATAAAAGATGTATGAATTACATTAAAGATTTGAACATACTTTTCCACAATCACAAATACCCACCTCATGTTACCTGTAACTGTGTCTACCAATTTACATGTACGTGCCAAAGCACATACATTGAAAGAACAGAGTGAAGGGTTATTGTCCGCATTTATGAAGACATACCAAAGAACCTGAGACTTAAGGGTCCACAAGCATTAAACAGTGCGATTGCTCGTCATCTATTGGACACTGGTCATATTGTAGACAACCTGAAGTCTTTCAAAATAATCAACAAGCAAAAGAAACCTAGCTTGCTACGCTTTGCTGAAGCAATTGTTATCAAATGACTTAAACCAAATCTATGTACACAGAAAGAGACAATGGTGAATCTTGCACTGCCCTGGTGATAACAAAAAAATATACATATACAACTTTCATGAGTCACCTTTCTCATGTTTAGAAAACTCTACTCTCTCATCTAAACACGACTCACCCTACCTTGTTTCTTTTCTTTCCTTTTCTCTATTGGCTATTAGATAAGGCGTTTTCTTTGGTTACGTAATCTACTTTTTTTTTACGCTCCTTGTAGCTAAACCTTGTTTCTGTACACACACATATATACGCAACCCTGTTTTTTGTTTCAAAGCCTAGTTGTCTAATTATTCTATAAATAGTCAGTGTTTGTAACTCCTAATCAGTTAAATCATTCCGGACTAATGTTACTTTTACTTCCTACCAACCAATTACTCCTTGTGATCATGGAAAAGTATGTTCAAACCTTTAATGTAATTCATATTTTTATCGTTCAGGTTGTAACCAGTTGAGAAGAATCCTCGAAATAATAAAAGATGAGCTCATATTATCCTGGTACATGCAATTGTTCTTGCTTTGTTCAAGTTTATTAATGGAAAGAATTGCATGATAGAATTCTATCAACACTGAGGACTAACTATAATGATTTTCATGTGTTAGTTTATAGGGTTTTAATAATTAGTCTCATGATTTATCATGAACTGAATTAAGTTAGAGAATCATTGGTAAACCAGGAACTGCTAAACAGCCGTCTCGTCCTTATTTAGGACTCTTTATCACCAGGCACCCATGACTCCAACGGCGATCGCACCTAAGACTTTCCGGTTATAGGGCGAGGTCGTTGACTGTTAACCTACTGGGACAGAATCCAAAAGCCCATGAATTCTTACTTCTGTCATTTTTCAATTTTTAGTTCCACTACCACCTGGGGTGGGTCGTGTTGATGAGCAATTCTGATTAAAACTCCAGATAACATCGTCCTGTTGTGGGTTGTTAGTAAGCATCGGATTTTCAAGTATTAGAAGTTAAAATGCATAGGCCATAGGACTCCGTCATAGGAGCCGAATGACTGACTTACTGAATGAATTCAACGTAGAACTTTGCACAGATGTGCAGCATTTTGAGTTGCCACACCATTTAGCACACAAAACAAGAGAAGAGAGTAGAGAGAGCTGTAAAAGAGAGGTAATAAACAGAAGTGTGAGGCAAAAAGAATAGTAAGACAGAAGAACAATAGAATTTTATCGGACATTATAAATCACAAGGAGTGAACGCATCTGCATCAGCCATGGAGAACGATTTTAAGCCAAATCACCAATTGTCTCCAACCCTCATCGGTTTTTACCACCCCAACATGGAAGTCTACACCTCCCTACATGGGCTGGCTCAAACTAACAATTGTAGATTTTCAAGTGTTGGTTTGTAGGGATTTGATTGGTTTACAGGATTTCATCATGAGCTGACATTAGTTGGAGAATCATTGGAAAACCTGGGAGTACTGGACAGCTGTTTCGTCCTAGTTTGGGACTCTTCATCTTGTACACACCCACCGGGATTCGAATCCAGGACCTTCCGGTTACAAGGCTGACGAGCTCGTATACCATTAAGCCACTGGGACCCGATGCAATGGCCCATGAATTCTAACTTCTGCCAATTCACGACATAGCGCGACCCCTAGCCAATGTCTTCGGCGAGTATTTGTCCTCACGCCCGACCAGCTGCACCCTACTGGCCACGACTTCTCACTAGAACCCCAGGTAACTACCTACCTGAATAGGGAAAGTCGCTAGTGAGCATCTCATTGATATTCAAGTGTTGGTTTGTAGGGATTTGATTGGTTTACGAAACAATTGTGGATTTCATTGACCGATGAAGCCATGTTTTGGTTTGACCACCACTAGCTTTTCCAACTTTGATCATCCTATGTCAGCTAACTAAATGGTCATCGATGTCTCTTTGTAACCTAAAGGTATTATGTCCGATCGCCATCGGGGTTTTGGGTTCCTGTCACTAAAGACTCCCAAACAAAGGTGAGACGTCTAGCTGGCTTCACTACTCCATGGTTTTTAATGGGTCCCTAACTGAATTCAATTCGTAACTAATCTTGAAAATAATTAAGATAACTTAAGTTACTACCTGGAAGCCAATCGGCGTACAAATAAGTTACATGCTTAAAGTGTTTGTGTAGCTTGAGTCATATGAAAAAGAGAAGACATTCAGTGAAGAGACTCTTTTCGGCAAATTCATTCACATAGCTGTACAATCGCATTTATAAATAATTATTTGTGTGTGTGTACATGAGGTTTGTCAAGTTTAGATAAGTGATCAGGTAATACAAGAATGATCTAATAAAGAAACAAGGCAACTAAAGTAAGATTTAGTTAGTAAGTTAGATGACGTAATATAATTAACAAAAATGTTTCAACTTAGGTCAGGGTAGCAACAGAGGTAATTACAGGTAGAGACTAAATAGAAGTGGGGTAGATAATAATGCCATTTCAATTAGAACTGAAATTGATCAATTAAGTTGGATGACGTAACTAGAAATTGAGCGTTGGTCAAGTCAATAACAGTGGTAGTGAGGTGTTGGAATTAAATCGGGTGAGGTTAGAGAACAAGAAGGTTGAAAATCTAAAATATTACAGTTGAGAAGACAAAATAATATTAATGAAGACAGAAGAGAAAAGGATTAGGTAGAATTTAATTGTCGGGTAGTAACATAGATTAAGTCCATTGCAAGTGTAGTGATTGAACGAACTTCTTCTGTATGCAGAGTTCAGGGCTTAGCAAGTGAATCGTCATCGCTTCTGCAGTTTGAAGAAGTCTGATTCGTACACCTTTAGGAAGACTACTTCTTACTCTGTAGACGACTTTGAAGTTTGTTTGGAATGTTGCTTGGTGTCCGGATTCTATCAGATGTTCTAAGATGGAGCTGCGGGGACATCGTTTCTCTCCTTTGTAAAACCATGTTAGTAAGTGTTCGGTGATACGTTTGGAAAGCGAACGCTGGGCACGGCCGACATACCTTGCTCCACACGAGCAGGTGAATTGATAAATACACATTAATGAGGCCAGCAGTGGTAACTTATCCTTCACGTTCACATGAATCATAGGTTTTGTGGAGAAAGTTAGTCGTAGTTCAGCTGCGAAGAAGGTCTTCTTAAGTGAGCGCGACAGTCAATTTTTTAGTGTTTCTGCAGATATATCTCCTTTGAATTGAAGGTTCATGTAGAGTATTTTTTTTCAGGACGCTAAGGATAGGCGGATTTTGTGGTCTAGGATTCATAGATTTTGCAATAAATCTTTCTGGATGACAATTCTCGACGAGGATTCTCTTAAGATTGTCCAGTTCATCTTCTATGGTGTCCGGGGTACAAATTCTGCGAACTCTGTAGCTGAGTTTAGTCTCTACCTGTAATTACCTCTGTTGCTACTCTGACCTAATTTGAAGCATTTTAGTCAATTATGTTGCGTCATCTAACTTACTAACTAAATCTTACTTTAGTTGCTGTCTAATTAACCTTGTTTCTATATTAGATCATTCTTGTATTACCTGATCAATTAATCTAAACTTGACAAACCTCATGTACACACACACAAATAATTATATATAAAGTGTTTGTGTATAATTTTTCAGTGATAGATACCACTGGTTGTCTAGATATTTGACTGTAGTGTATAGACAGGAAATGGTGAGCAATATTTATGAAATTGTGGTTTATTACAATCCTCATGTAGTTTAGCAGAGCAGTGGGCTTTTTGTACTTTTGAGAATTTCAGTTTAATAGAGAGAAGACCAACAGTTCAGCGAATAGTCTCTTTTCGGCGGCGAATTCATTTTCACAGTTGTACAATCGCAAATTTATATATATGGTTATTATGTATGTGCGTGTACATTGAATTTGTCAAACGAAAATACAATTAGTAAGCATTTTGGTGTAGCTACATAATACAAAAAGCGTTCAGAGAAATTGGATGTTGATGTAAGAGGGTAGTAACAAAAGTGATTAGTGTTATGTGATAACATGAATAGTTCGATGCAAGAGTTGTACTCAGGGTGTACATGGAAACAAAATAAAATACGGAATTACAACTTCAAAGGTGACCTACTCAGTGATATCCTTAAGAGGAGAATTTCAACTTCTTTAAAAAGAACTTTCTTCGCAGCAACATTAAGAGTAGTGTTCTCCAATCGCCTGTTGACCTTCAGAAGCCGAAAGGACAAGATCTTGCACTCGACCACTTCTATGTGTGTATATATCAGTTCGCCTGTTGCTGTAGAGCCAGGCACATCGGTCGTTCGACGCGCATACTGTCAAAAAGGTTTAAAGAACACTATCCAGGGTGGCTGCAAAGTGGAACTAGTGGCCGTTGTCGAAAAGAAACTCTTCGCTGAACTACTGGTCTTCTCTCTATTAATTTTCTAATGGGGATTTTTCATGAATGTCAGTCTAGACGTGTTTCGGTATGTTTCGTGCCTATCGTCGTTGAAATCCCTTTTCAGCGAAGTCTGTCTGTTTTCGACATAGAACTTTGCACTGATGTGCACCAGTTCAAGTCGCCACACCCTCCCTGTAGCACACAAAGCAAAAGAGGGTAGAAGAAATGCATAATAGAGACAGTAAACAGAGGTGTGAGACGAAGGAATAGTAATAACGAAGACCGATATAGTTTCATTGGAAATCATAAGTTACAAGGAGTGGATGAATCTGCGCTGGCCATTGAGAACGATTTTGAGCCATATCGCCACTTGTCTCCAGCCATTAGTGTTTACCATCCCGAGGACCCGAACCAACCAGTTAGGAAGTCTACACCTGCCTTCGTGGTTGGCTGGCTTAAACTAACTGTTGTAGATTTCATTGACTGGTGAGGCCATGTTTTTGTTTGACCTCCTCTAGCTCTTTCCCAGCCTGACCTTATGTCAGCTAACATTGCCTGTCGTCGAGGAAGGCGATGACTAGGCATACGTAACACATGTCCTAACCATCTCAGTCGGTATAACTTGACACTCTCGTCGGTTTATTTCCCCTCCCACCCACCTAGAACTCCACCGGTGCCTAACCTCAATATTGCTCACCTTATTCTACCACTTCACACGGGAGATAGAGCGCAGGGACCTATGATCAAAGACAGCTAGCCAGCCTTTTCATGTCTTCCACTCTCAATGGCCAGGTCTCGCTCACAGCCATAAAGGAGGACGGAGAGGACTGATGAGCAGTACACCCGCCCTTTGGTGGATAGCCAGCCGGATATCACGTGTACGCCAGAGACGGCGTGAACTCGCATATGCGAAACTAGCCCTCTGTATTCGTGTTGAGATTTCGTCGGAGATCAACCCGTTGGCGTTGGCTGGTGGTACTTCCCAAGTAAGTGAAGCGGTAAACGTGCTCTACCACTTCACTCCCTATTTGTAAACTAGGAGTCAGTGTAGTCCAGTCCTGTAACATCATCTTTCCAACGGTATCATATATCAAGCTCTATAATGATATATATATATATATATATATATATATATATGCATGTGGTACATTTTATCATGGCAATAAAAGGAATGTTTCTGAGTATCTCATTAAATCTGTAACTTATAGCTTGAGAATGCTATCCCCGAAGAGAGTAATTCTTCTCTGAATGCCTTCTCTTTTTTCTGTATAACTTCATGACGATTTTAAACCTAAAATTCCATCTCAGTTTTATGTTTCTTTTCGTCATAGTATGTTTTACCTGTCTCCTCTCTATCGTGGTTTTTTTGTTTTCTTTCTAGTTTTGGCAATCTCTTGACCAGCTATCATCTTGATCTTCTCGATTGTATGATCACTTGTCTTGGTTGTCCACAGACAACTCTACGTAAAAGAGCTATTCAAGCCTTGGGTTTTCTATCCTGGATCATCCCACAGAAGTATTTCACTTCACTAGTTAGCTTCTTACTATTTCGTTTACAAATGAGTCCATTTTTATTAACCTCTCAGCCACCTATGAAAAATATGGATGAACAATTATCAAAGTTAATCACTGAGAATACCCTGTTTCAACGACCTCATCTATTAGAACAGTTGAAACAGCAGCCATCAGTTGATGTTACTAAAACACTACTTCAATGTTTCAATGTTGTCTCGTAAGTTTTTGAATATTTTATGAGTATGATATTATCAGTAGTATTTCTAATAACTTGTAATAATTTACATTCCTTGTGGAACATAAAGTTTTAAGCCTTAAATTTGAAGTTTCTGTAGGTGTGGTATTGTTGCTTTTGCATAGCCAGGTCGCTAACCTCATGCCTAACCGTTCCTCTTCAGTGGGCTTACTACTGGTGTGGTGTGTACTACTTATAAGATTTGTCAGTAGTATATGAAGAGGCGTTCGTCGGCGGAGAGATAGATTTGACGTCTAAGAGAGGAAATGAACCAGTATTGCGGTGACATATGGAAGACACGAAAAGAAGGCAAAGAAACACACAATACGGAAGGTCTATGCAAATGACAATTTTCAGACAAGGTGCACATAATTTCGTTATGTAGAAATATCAAATTCCAAATAAGCCCTCCGTTTACCAAGTCTCTTGTCTTTCGCTGTTATACACCGGCTAAGCGAGGTTTAGGATTAAGTTGGTTGGACCATGTACGGAGTAGTTGATATGCATCCTACCACTGAACCACGGACGCGCCACAAACAAGATCGACATCTCGTCTATTCATTTAAAAGTCTCTGTTGTTGTATTTGTTGTTGTTTGAGATGGAAACCAAGAAACTGGAGAATAAAGCCGTCAATCAGTCATATGTCTTATAAAATAATTAAGCATTTCGTCGGATAAACTAGAGCCTACTTCTCGAGGGAACAAACTTTTATAATAGCGCTATTACCAGACATCTCCTCGATACGGGTCATGAGATGGAAATCGCGAAATCCTTTGGAATTATCAATAGACAAAGGAGCTCGATTCTCCTCAAGTTTACCGAAGCAGTTTCTGTCAAACGCATGAAACCAGATTTATGTGTGTTCAGAAAGAAGCAGTTATTAGTCTTTCCTTGCCCATCCTGGTAACTGGATGTCTTTACTCCCTCTCTTTCATTCGATAACGTAATCCCTGGCTTTAACCTCAACCCTCTTTGATATAGTGTAATTTTGCTTGTCTCTTGTTTTTGTGATTTGAGTTGAACTTAGTACATTGTTATCTAATTTATTAGTCACTCAGCATCTTACGGATTTCTCTTCTTTATTACGTAACTCCTTTACGATTGTATGCATGCATTTATTTTGTTTAAACTTGAACTGCCTGTGTAAATTAAACTATAGAAGCGTAATTGTCTGAGCACTGTTCACTAAGTTCAGAATCTCTTGTCAACTGACATTGTGTAAAAATTGCAAGTATGTTAAAACTTTTCTTTACATGAGCTTAATGATAATTTAGGCTGCGCGCAAGCAGTTGAGCTGATGAGAAGCCAACGAAATAAGCAATGATGGTACCGTCATCTTATTCTGCACAGGCTGCCACTGTTGTTCTTGATTTATTCAAATTCTTCAAGGGGAATGAATGCATAAACTGTAGTGTAAGAAAAAGTAGGCTGAGATAAGTTAATATACTCTTAATACTACATGTAGTCCTCAGGGCATGTATGTGGGTTAACTTAGACAAAGGTGACAATTCCCTATTCATATGTATCTTAGAAATTGTACTGTTAAATAAAACTGGTCATTAAAGCGAGAGAATATGCATCAGTTTGTTTATTCCTCATTGGCTTATTGACATTTTTGTTGAGCTCAGTGTCCACTTAGAAGGTGTGCCTCCAAAGTCTCAGGATGATCTGGGGTGGGTGCCTTGCTCTGAGGGTTGGCAACCCCTCCGTACACCTCTTGAAATGCTCCCATATGACCGGGCGTCTTACATAGCCTCTCCTGAGGAAGTCCTACTCACTGCCTTCACGTGGCGGAGGTGTTTTTCACGAAGTGAGAGGGCAAAAGCGGATACCCAGCGCTCTTCACCGGGTTGACTGTCCATTGGATGACAGTCTAGGGGAGATGGCTAAACCCTGATACCAAACCTTCAACGACTGGCGTATGAGCTCACCGGAGCTCACCGGCAGACGTATGGACAAAGGACTTATTGGATGCCTGGATGTCTGGCCCCATTCGAAAAGGCGTATGAACCGGACTCCGGTCACTGGCTGGCTTCCAATGGATAGTGGACTCCCTACTCCACTCCTACTGCCTTGTAGGTCACACTTGGTTGTGTAAAGGCTAGAGCTGCACTCTCAAACAAAAGGCCGAGCGATTCTGGGGACATGACTCGTACCAAATTCCCATGAAACTTCATGAACTCTCTTACAAAAAACATCAACCAAATTCCAGTACTGGTCCAACAACGCCGTCTTCGGTGGTTTGGCCATGTTCTGCGCCGACCAGATGACGATCTGGTCAAATCAGTTCTAAATCCCTCGCCATTTCCATCTTGGCGATGTCGCAGGGGTGGACAGCTGAAAACATGGCTTGGTACAGTCAAGGCTGATATGGAGTGCCTGGGGCTACAAACCGTCTACGGACTCCGTCTGTGGAACAAGAATTGGATAGCCCTGCATCAGATCGTCGCGCCTGGGTAGCGATGATTCGAGATGTTCATGAAGCCGGCTCATCCTCCCGTAGGAGATAGCCGAAGTAAAGTAAAGTAAGTAGTTAGAAGGTGTCCTAGGCACTTGTTCAGTTGTTGATTATTTTATCATTTTTCAAGTACTATTCACCATATTGACAGTACAAAGTGAGCAGATATGGATCAGGTTAAGTTTCAATGAACCATGTTGTATTCGGTTTTTTCTCTGCTTGTCGTTTGGGGAAATTGTTTTTCTAGGCCTCAATAAAGGGAGTGTGTTTAGTCTAATTTTGTATTTCCCGTTGGCTGTGACTATATTCGACCAAAATGTTGGGTCTCTATTGACATGTATGGATGCTTCAACGATGTCTGAGCATTGACGTGTTGTTTGTGATGGATACTGACTAGCAATGAGATTTAGGATGCATGTTTCTGTCCGATTTCGGACTCGCTTACTGGATGTCGGTTCCAGTTTCAGTAGGAACACCATCACTCACGGAGAATGCAAGTACATCCAACTGGCTAGTACCTAGTAGAACGAAATAGGAATCCTGGATTCGGCAACTAGTCACTAACTACCAAATAACAACATGTTAATCCTTAGACATCGTCGAAGTGTTCGTGCTAGGAGCCGAAATATCAACGGAGGCCTAATGTTTCTCTCAAATATGTAATCAGCTATCGGAAAATACAGAATTCAACTAGACGAATAATAGCTGATACTTCTTGCGCTAAAGGTGGCTCTAGTGGCCTAGTGGAGAGCGCTTTTTAACGTTTAAAACAGTGGATGTAAGGTAAGAGTCCCAGTGGTAACACCATCACTTACTTGGGGTTAGGAATCGTAGGCACATCCAGATGACAAGTCACAGATAGGAAAAAACGCTCACCCTGGATTCAGTTGCTAGCCACCACCCACCAAGTTAATCAAAAAGCTATTAAACACGTGTGGATTTGTTTGAAGAAAGTTAACAGTGAAATCCAAGATTTCGTTCTTTTAGCGGCTAGTCAGCTGGGTGTAACCTGCGTTCCCCATGAATGACTCAGTTCAATAGAATCAATCGCCGCAAACACATGGACTGTACATTTGAATTTCGCTTCGCCTATTATTGTAGCTCACTTACTACATGTTATAAGTTGCCTTTATTCTTACACTGGGTGTGGATCTCTCGTGGCCATGCAGAGTACTAAATTCATATTTCATTTACACTGAATACCTTTCTCTGTCATAATTATGTAGTATGTTTGTAAATTCTTTTCTTATCTTTTCTTGACAGTCGCCAACTTCAACGTGCGCCTCATTGTATTACTCCAGTCCTTCGACTATTGATATCAATTGCATACAGCCCAGCGTCAAATAATACTGAAGAAGATGACGTTGTAGAGTTGGTTATTCAAGTATTAGAAACACTGATACGACGATGTCCTAGAGCAGTTGCACCTGCACTACCTGAAGTAAGCTTCAAGTATACTTATGCGTATTTCAGTATTATTATTTCCTTTAATTCCTTGAGGAACACAGGGCTTCAGCTTCACGTCTCCATTACGTTCGGTTCTCTGCTAGAGTTTTCACCTGGCTCAAGGTCTGCCCACTTGCTTTCATCTCCTCTTCACCCGACCTCCTCGAAGTCACCCTTGGACGACTGACTCGCCGCTTCCCTTTCGGGTTTCACTCGAGCAATGGCTTATCTAGTAATGTCACTTGATGGTTTCCTCAGAGTATTGCCAATCCGATCCACCTTCATTTCTTCCTGCCTATTTGTTGAACAATCGGTTCCTGGTTGGTTCGGTCCCAGATTAAAACGCAAACTTGGTGCACTATGAGCATCAAGAGATGAGCGCCACAAAAAGCCTCATGGTTTGTGCGAGAGGGTCTAGATACTACTTGGACATCCAGAACGAAGCAGGTGGTTTTCTTAAGGGGACACACCCATCTCCGCGAGCTTTTGACTCAAAGTCTGATTCACAATGCAATGGAGCTAAGTTGCTGTGGTTCTCGGTGATCGAAAGGTCTCATACGCCTTTTGGTCTGTTTGGGTTGTGGAGTCTCTGTACACCATAGGTTTGGAATCAGGGTATTCCGGTTCACTTTGGCAGACCTTCATGTCTACCATTCCGATTGTTAGCACCAAACGTTTGTATTCTCCTTTTTACTTTTCTGAGGAACACCTCGGCCGCTTGGTGAGTAGTAGGACTACTTACTTGCTAGAGATTATGTACGCATGACAACATGAAAACATTTGGAGAAGAAGACTGGAGTCTACCCACCTGCAGCCGTACTAGGTCGTTTTTGGGGAAGATTGCTTGCTCAGATGTGTATGTTGTAGTCTTTGAGTTGTGTGGTTTAATTGAATAGCTCTCACTAGCCCTTCTGGACAACATTTTCGACACGAACTGCATTCAATGTAAAGAGGCAGAGGGAAAGCCCCAGGAGTTCTCCGTGACTTTCTCCTATAGCAGCCTTTTACTCAAATCAAATCAATCTGTAGTTAACACACGTGTGGATACTGGTTGAATTCATCAACCAACAAACGATAAGGCACACGAGCCATAGGTCAAATATATATCAGGTCAGTGAGACAATCGGTGTGAACAACACGAATGAATACACAATAGCAAAAGAATCTCAGTATACAACGAATCACACTCAAGATAGTCAGGAAAAACGGGTTATTTACTTCTTAGAGGATTCCGAAGGACAATGCAAGCTTTGCACATTTGAATCATTCCTACCACAGAACACAACAACATAAGTCCGAAATATTGTCATTGTCATTGTTACTTCTGGGGTGATTTTGATGACTGAAGCGTTTTCTAGATGGTACAGACAGCTGGTGCAAAACTTATTAGTTCAGTATTCGGACTCAGTATACAGATGTCTCGTCCTAGTTTAGGACTCACCGGCAGTACGAACCCACCACCAGGGTTCGAAGCATAGAACTCCTTCCGGTCACAAGGTCAACGAGCCCATAGACCATTCAGCCAACTAAGACCCTACTTAGTGACCCGTCCATGAATTCTAACTTGTGCCAATTCGTGATTTTACCGCGACTAGCACCAACCAATGTCATCGCTGGAGAGTATTTGTCCTCACTCTCAACCTATTGTTGTACTCTGCTGATAACAACTTGTCACTAGAACTTCGGGCAATTTCGTTCTGCAGCCAGCGAGTCACTAGAGAGCGTCAGACTAATTTTAGAGAGATTATTTGTAGAAATTCGGTTTGTTTCAAGTTTGTCTCCCTAACCCAGTCATGAGTGGGGACAAATACTTGCCAGCGATAACACTGCTGGTTTTAGTCGCGCTAAAATCACGAATTGTTAGAAGTTAGAATTCATGGACGGATCATTGAGACGGATCTCAGTTGGCTGAATGAATGGTCTACGAACTCGCTGGTCTTCTAACCTGAAGGAGTCCTTGGGTTCGAACTTTGCCAGTGGTTGTATACTGTTGATGAATCCCAAACTAGGGCGAAATTGCTGCCTAGTACTTTTAGGTTTTAATGGTTCTCTAATTGATGTCAATCCGTGATCTAACTTCGAATAAATACCTAGTTGTGAGAATTACTCGACTAGTACTTATCATGGTTCACTTCTGGGATTGGGTGCAAAAGCACAAGCTCCAGTCAGTCTTGCAGAGTAATACTGCATACTTGGATGATGCAGAGCATTCATGCTATACCTATTGGAACTTATAGACAACTGATTAAATGCTGTTTAAGAGAGTAGCCGGTATGTCTTTGTACGCTAAATAGTCAATGTCATCTGTATATCCATTGAAGGGTTGAAGAGTTTTCCTGCAAGCAGCAAATCTCTACACCACTTCATCATCATCATTGTCATCATCAGCGCTCATATATTCTCTTTAGAGCTTATATAACACAATACTGTACAGTTCATTGCATCAGTCAGTCAGCCAGTGCATGTAGGCGCGAATGTAAGATAAAGAATCTTAAAATATAAGAAATTTCTAAGGTAGGTTGTTCACATAAAAATCTGGTTTTCAAATGTTGGTTTACAGGAATTAGTCTCCTAACTACAGAGCGAAGCTAGCCAGCTAGCTACCTGGAGTTTTAGCGAGAAGTCATAACTAGCCGGATTCATCAAGTTAGACAAGAGATCGATTTCTACTGGCCTATGACATTGGTTCGTGGCTGCGCAGAAGTTGGGATTCACAGGCCGTTGTATCAGATCTCCCAGTAGTTGAATAGTAGTCAACGAACTTGGGTGTGTGCTATTGAAGAGTTCCATATAAGGACGAAACAGCTAGGTAGCTAACTAGCTATTCATTACTCCCTGATGGTTTTCAATGGTTCTGTAATTGAAATCAATTAGTGATCAATCTTAAAAATCTGATGGTCTTAGGGTTCTTTAAAAAAAATGTTTAATCAATATCAAATACCTGTATTACGTGATTATACCATTATGTAACTGAGAAGAATTGGTCTACACCCTTTTTAGAGAATATACTGAAATAATTATTTCTAAAACGGTTCAATGTTCTACAGTGTTCTCCTGTGTTTAGGAGTTTAGTTTAATGCTTTCATTTCTTTTCTCTATTCACTGCTAATAGCTTATCAGTCTTCTGTGTGAACGTCTCCAATACGATCCAAATTATGATTATGGTCTAGCAGAGGATGGAGATGATCAGTAAGTTATTTATTGATTGTGGTATGATTAATACATTACGTTTAGATGTTGTCGATAGAAAATAATGAAGGACTGATTTAGCAGAATATTAGTAAAGTGCTTATTTCTACCACTAACTAGTATGGTTTGTGGGGAGGACACTAGTCGTTACATTTTTTCAGTTGGTTATTGCTATGTTTTTTTTATATCTCTCAACTAATAGCTGCTACCTTGACGTAGTGAGTGGTTGGGCTCACATATCTCGATGGCCCAGCGACTTACACTGGATGGAACTGATGTCCCTTTAGGTCTTACCATGCCAGAAGGGTCGTTCGGATAGCGATTAGACTAAAAGCAGTTACGATCATAGTGTGTGTAAGTTGTTTACATTGTGTTCATGGGGGTCTTTGGGGGGCGGGGAATAGGAATGTAACAACAGTAAGATGTTCCACTTAGATGACCAGCATGTTGGCTGTGTTGTCTCTCCAGTCTGGAGGGGGGAATGATGGGGTTAGAATAGATTTACCCCCAAAATTATACATTCCGACCTACTTTTCGGTGGTCTGTAGCTTCTGGTAAGATCTTAATACGGAGACAATTTTAGGGAGCCATTCAAACCTGGCGTATGTGACAGGCCTCAATTGGGCTGTCCCTTTGGCGCCATGCAGTCATGCAACATCAGTCATATTTCTGTTTCAGATGCCCCACGAAAAAATCAACCTATACAGTCTGGGCATCAGAGAAGTAATAACTGTCACCTAATTAGGGAGATGGAATGCAAACATCTGTGGTTAAAGACAGCCTTTTCGTACCTCCTACCTTCAGTGGCCATATCCTCGAATTCACGAAGGAGAACAGAGTGAATGGCGCGAGGTATACACGTCTTTTAACTGACAGAGATGACATAAGTCGGGAAATGTTGCACGGGCCTTTTGTATCTATGCTGAGATTTTCATCAGCTATCAGTACACTAAGGCTGATACAACTCTCCAAATAGTTGAAGTGGTTAACATACTCTACCACTCACTTCACATCTTTAAGCTAGGAGTGAGTGCAGTCCAGTTCTGCAGTATCATCTTACATTTGACGGGAGCGAGTCGCATTCCAAACGTTTAAAGATTTCTGGGCAAGGTGTTCAGAAGACTCTTCATTTTGTCAGCATTTTCACTTAGGAGGGCAATATCGTCGCATAATCGAAGTCGTTTGCCTTCCGGTAATAAGTCGATCCGAAGTCGCTAAAGCTAATTAAGGTCATCTTTGATCAAATTAAATTAAAAACAGAGACATTTTAGATTGCTGACACCGCTGGTTGTTATCATTTCAGAGAACAACTTTCCGTAATCTTTTACATCTTCGTGCGATGTACTTCTCGGCACTTCCTTCATGGCAAAACATTGCCACTGACTGCCTTACAGTTTATCATTTTTTTATAAACATAAGGCTTAAAGCTAGAGGCTTGAAGTTTCGGTATTAGTGGTCTCATTTTTACGAAGTGGGATTGCTATTCCTACATCCGACCTTCCGTCTTTACCTGGTTTGAGGGTTTCCCGGCCGATAACTGCTACGTTGTTGTAGTGGTCGGGCTTGAATACCGTAATGACCCAACATGCTAAACTGACTGGGACTCTGTCCCTGCAGGTCCTGCCATGTCAGGAAGGTTGTTTGGATAGCGGTTAAACTAAAAGCAGCTACCATGGGGTACATGGGCTCTAGTATCCAATCGGACCAAATGGCGTATGAACTCATTATATATATATATATATATATATATATATTCTTTTGATCTATGTTGTTTTATTATTGTTGTGTGGCGCATCCTTCTTGGTGCCATATTGTACCAAGTTTTTATGCGTTTAAATAATAATAATAACTTAATCAATTAAAACAAACCGAACATCAAGACAAGACGGAGGTTAGGAAAATAACTAACCAACAGCAACAACAAGAACAGCAGCAGCAACATCCAGCGTCAATCACTATCAACGGGATGGATTTGAAAGAGGTTACTTCATTCACGTAACTAGGGAGCATTGTCTCTCAACTACAGGAGGGACGGACGAGGATGTTAAATCGAGAATCGGGAAGGTGAGAAACACATTCATCAACCTGAAACCAATCTGGAAATCTTTGTCATTCAGCCAGAATCAACAACAAAATCCAGTCGGATTTTCAATACAAACAACGTCAAGTCAGTCAGTTCTTCTATACGGATCAGAAACTTGGCAGGCGGGTCACGGAGAATATTTCCAACAGCCTGTTGCAGACCTTTATCAACAGCTGTCTTCGCTGGATCTGTACTGAAGATCAGATGGCTGGGCAGGAAAGAATCACCAACAAGAAACTATGGGAACAAACAAACAAAACAAGAACCAATCGCCAACCAACAAATATGCAGGAGAAAGTGGAGTGAGATGGATTGGACACTAGCTGAGGAGGCCGCTGGGTGACTTAGCGCGTCAGGCCATTGCTCGAGTGGAACCAGGCCGAAAGGGAAGCGGCGAGTGGGTCGTCAGTGCAAGCGTGACATGAGGAGATTGTGTGAAGAGGAGTTGAAACAGTATGGACTAACATGGATGCAGGTGAAAAGCACAGCAGAAGACAGAAGCAAGTGGAGACGTGCAGTTGAAGCCCTATGTTTCACTAGAAACCCAAGGGAACAATGATATAATAATTACAGAAATAATTACAGCAGAAGCAAGACAAAAGCAAGTGGAGATGTGCAGTTGAAGCCCTATGTTCGATTAGGAACCCAAGGGAACGATGATGATGATGATAAACAACACAAAATTTATTCAATCGAGAAAGAGATGGAAGTTTTTGGTGGTGAAAGTTTTAAGCTGCCCACCAACAATACTATTGGTATTAGTGTTATTCTTGTTATACCACTTTGTATCAGATAATAAAAAACTCCTTATTGTGCAATTAGTTGTTCATGATTTTCTTCTTCTTGTCGTCTGATCATGTTTCAGGATGGGTGGTGATGCCAGTGATAATGATTTCGATGAAGATGATGACGACGAGGATGGTGAATATTCAGATGATGAAGATCTCTCATGGAAAGTTAGACGTGCTGCAGCTCGTGCTCTAGAAGCGATTATTTTAGTGTATAATGAAATGACTGCAGATTTCTATGTGTCTATCGCTCCACTACTCATCAAACAATTTAATGGTTCGTAAGAGTTGATTTTTGTTTCTGGTTTCCTAATTCTTGGTTGTTGTTAAGTACTGCATTCTACTTACAGGGAACAGTTGAGTGAGTTTCATGTCGTGGCGATGTGACCGCGTTTATAAACCACGACCTCATAACCTACCTACGACGGTCTTCCTCTCAAAATGCTTTCATATGGCTACGCGTTGATAGCTTCTGTCAGCCATGCACGTCCTGTCACTGCCTTCACATGGGGATTATGTTCCTTACGAATGTGAAAGGGCGAATCCGAAGGTCAGGCGCTTACAACCAAACTAGTAGACATGCAAGTCTACCTAGGGGAGCTTGAAAACTCTGATTCCAAACTTATGGTGTAAACGGGCTCCGAAATCCAATAGTATTGAATGGCTTTTAACCTGTGTTTAGGTCAACAAAAACCATTGGGATGTGTAGCTTCACTTCCTTGTGGATCAGGGTTCAATTCAAAGGGTAGTTGAGGAAAGGGCCTCTTGAGACAACCACCTGCCTGCTTACATTTTGGCATCTGGGTAGTATTCCAGGCCTCACAGAAACTATGCTATTGGTGTAGTGCATCTCTTCACTCCTACAATTATCGTAAATAAAGCTAGTATGGGATTTTAGCTACTGAGTATAGGGGTCCCGTTATCAATCTGTACTACACTCATTAGTTCCTGTACTCATTTTCTACGTAGTAGTATGGTTCTTTGACTGTAGGATGTGTTTGTGTTACCCAGCGAGTCTCCGGTTTAAGCGGTGTAATAAGGGAAGTAATGTTGGGGTTAAGCGTCGAGTCTGTCTGTCTGTCTGGATTCAACATAGAACTTGGCATCGAAGTGCACCAGTTCCAGTTGCCACGTTCCAAATACCACACAGAGGTAGACAAGAAGATGACGAATGAGAGAATCAATAGACTTTGACAAGTATAAGAGTAATTAGTAATGGTAAAAAGGAATATGAAAGATTACAGAGACTGAATACATCTCCGCTGGCCATTGACAACGATTTTGAGCCATGTCACCACCTATTGTCTCCAGCCATTGATTCTTTGAGTCAGTCCCGAGAGCCCCAACCCGGGAGTCTGCATCTCCTTACCTGACTGACTCAGTTTAACTGTCAAGGATTTCATGGATTGATGAGGCCATGTTTTTGTTTGGCCACCACTTAGTCTTTTCCAACCTGCACCTATCTATATCAGCTAGCAATGCCCGTCGGGGGAGGCGGTGGTTAGGCATGCGCACCACGTGACCTAGCCATCTCAGTCTATGTAACTTTATAGCCTCGTCGATTGATTTTCCCTCTTTGCCCAACACTCTACGCCTAACGTCAACATTACTTATCTTGTGAAACCACCTAACGTGAGACAGAGATCGCAGACATCTATGATCGAAAGCAGTCAACCTTTTCATGTCTTCAACTCGTATTGGCCATGTTTCAGAGCCACAGAGAAGGATGGAGCGAACTGGTGAGCAGTACACACGTCCCTTGGTTGATAACCGGATGTCACGCCTACGTCAGAGATGGTGTAAGTCAGCGGAAGCAGTTGGAGCTTTTCGGATCCGTGCTGAGATTTCATCGCCAATCAGTCCGTTGGTGCTGATACAACTTCCCAAATAGGTGAGGTGGTCAACATGCCCTATCACTTCACTCCCTATCACTAAGCTAGGAGTTGACGTAATCCAGTCCTGTAGCAGCACCTTGCATTTTGCAGGAGCAAATCGCATGCCAAACATACGGAGATTGCTGCTCAAGGTGTTCAGAAGACTCTGCATTTTGTCAGCATCCTCCCCTAACAGGACTATGTCATCTGCATATTCTAAGTCCATAAGACTATTCCCTGGTAACAAGTCGATTCCTAAGTCATTACGTTCAGTTAAGGATACTTCTATTAGCATATCTATGATGAAGTTAAACAGGAATGGGGAAAGTGAACATCCCTGTCGGACACCACTGGTGGTGACGGTCGATGTTAACTGACATAGGATAGATCAGGTTGCAAAAGAGGTTGGCTAGTGGTGATCAAACCAAAGCGTAGCTTCATCAGTCAATGAAATCCACAACAGTCAGTTTAAACCGGCCACGTACGGAGATATAGACTGTGAATGACTGGTTGGGGTCATCGGTGTGGTAAAAACCAATGAGGCCTGGGAGCCAATTATCGATGATATGATTCAAAATCGTTCTCCATGGATGACTCAGGTGCATTCATCAATTATTTGTGATTTATAATATCCTATAGAATTCTGTTGTTCCTCCGTATCACTATTCTATTTACCTCATATTTCTGTTTATTATCTTTCTCTTCTAAATCCCTCTTTACTCTCTTCTCTCGCTTTGTATGCTACATGGGGAGGGTAGTGGCAAGTTGAAATATGTTGCACATTTGTGCGAAGTTCTATGTTGAAGCCAGTCAATCAGGTTTAGACTTCACTCCTCTTCGTGAAAAAAAATACAAAGTGGCGTCCTAAGCCACGTGGTTACAGTCATTTTTATATCATCATTTGAATGCGAAACCCCACATATCATTTAGGTTTTGTTTATCTCTATAGTTATGTGGTTCATTTCATCTGTCTCAAGAATACCCAACCTAATATTATTACTTATTCTCTTCCGTTCCGATTGGAGCATGGCACCTCAACAGCATATGTCCATTTCATCCTGTTATGTGCAGTTCCCTTTATCTGGATCCACAATTGCCCATAACCCCTCTCATCTCCTTCTTACACGATCTCCTCACATTTCTCTCTCTCAGACGTTCAACTTGTGGTTTTCCAGCTCTTGCTCCACTAAAGGTTAGGAGCATAGAACGAGGTAATTAAGATGAAATGTATTGACGAGATCATGAAGCTACATCGATTAAGAGGGCTAGGACATGTGCTCTGCATTCTGAGCCACTGTCTTCCTTGATTGGGGGGTGGGAATGTTAGCTGGCATAGGGTCGGGTTGGAAAAGAGTAAGGGGTGGTCTAACCAATACCTGGAATCATTCCATGAAATCTTTGATAGTTGGTTTGAGTCAGCCACTTATCGAAATGTAGACTGCCTGTTTGGAGATCTCGAAATGCTTAGAACCAATGGTTGGAGACTGTTCCTATTCTTCCTCCCGTACATTTCTGCACATTATCGTTCCTTCGAATCTCTTCATTTTCTCCCTTTTCTCTATTTTTTGTGTACTATATATATAGTGTAGCGATTTGAACTTTGGCACTTGTGTGCAAAGTTCTTTGTTGAAAGCCAGAAGCGACTGAAGTACGAATACTTAAACTGATGATCCTCATCTTCATCTCGTATAATCTCTTACACATTCTGCCTAACTCTTCACGCCTTGTTTACAACTATCTGATTGTGTACTATTGTTACGACAGAAGACAAGGGCGAGGCAACAACTCATTTATTAAAGAAATCAACACATATTTATACATTTTCATGTACATTATTATAGATTATTGTTAACAGACAAACGCGGTCTTCTGATTGGTTGTTTCTCACAGAAAGTTAACCTTATATCTCTTTGTGACTGTTTCTTGAAGGTCAGATCATCATCCGCCTACGCAGTCTCCTGTGATTGGTTGTCGAGTCAGTCTTTGTTCTTGTTTTCACATGACCAAGATTCAGGACATAAGCATTAATGTAAATTACTGTCTACCAATTTGGCTAGCAGACAGGTCTCACCACACTATTATATTATTATTCCCTTGGGATCCGAATGAAGCATAGGACTTCAGAAACACACTTACATGTCATCCTAATATCTGCAATCGTCTTTATCTGTCCCCATTCGGTTCCCTCTCAAGGATCTGCCTGGCTCATGATGTTACCCAATGGTCTTCTCAACATATATACAATCAATAGTTGTGGAATTCATTTACTGTATAAAAAACTTGGTTTATTTTTATCATTTTTTTTGTTCTAGAGCAGTTACGTAATTCTTATTCTATTGTCCTCCGTTTTCAGAACGTAAAGAATTTGTCCGTTTAGCGGTATTTTCATGCCTTAGTGCATTGCTACGTCAAACTCGATTGACAACAATCAATTTGACGAGTGGATCTATGACTAGTCAAAATACTCTGAAATCATGTGAAAATGCATTATTTGTATCAGAGACAACATTGGAAGAATTACGCGTGCAATTACAAGATCCAAATAGGTAAGTGGAATGAGTGGTAGTAGTGGTAGTTGGTATCTTTTTTTTGTTTTTCTGTTTACTAACCGTCTCAATATTTAGTATAAATGTGTTTTTTTATGATTATTATATGGTTGAAGGCAATTGGCAGGAAACCCTTGCTGGCCTAGGTTTCGTGCTAGTTGGTTGGCACTCACCAGTCAGCAAGCCGTATTTTCACCCTTGAAGGAACTCATATCCCTCCGTGAGATTCGAGCTTGTATCACCTAGTTATGCGGAGAAGCTGTGGCTCAATGATTCCTGGGTGCTTTCAATCAACCGGCTTACCAATTCAAACACTGTAACATCACCTACCAAAGTGTGGGTGTTCAGGTAGTAGTAGTAGTGTAACGACAGAAGACAAGGGCCAGGCAAAAGATCGTTTATTGAGAAAATCAACAGATATTTATAGATTTTTTGTGTACATTATTATTAGCGCTATTGTTAGTAGAGAGGTAACGTCTTCTAATTGGTTGTTTTCTTGCTGAAGGTTATTCTATATGTGTAAAACTTGGACACTGTGGTAGTAAGTAATTCCATATTAGTTTGTTTATTAGATATATCACACAGTGAAATAGTATTATATGCTGGATGACAAAGTTTCGAACAAAATTTATTGCGGTTCATAATCATATCAATTATAATCACGCAACTTCAAAACTTGAGTTATATAGTTTTCTTTGTCTTCTTCTATTTGTTGTTGTTGGAGTAGTAGAATTTTCTAGATATGTGGGTGGATAGGTGTTGAATCATTCCTATTACATGTATTAGCAGTTGATTCGATAAACAAATAAACGTCATCCAATAAATAATACTGTATCACTGTGTGATACATCTAATAAACAAACTAATATGAAGGTTATTCTGTCATCTCTTTGTTGGCGTTTCTTAGACAGTCCGTTGGTATATCTGCTAGTCGTATCCGTCTGCTGTGATCGGTTGTTGAGCTCCTCAAGGTTAGACTTAGTTCCTGGTTTTTTCTCCTGATCCCGATTTGGGATGTAAAGATTGGCGTAAATTGTTGTCCACAATTTTTGGCTTGAAGACAGCTCTCACCACATTTTCACTAGCGCCTTCACACATATATACGATAGGTGTGATTAAATGTCAACTATATCTAGTCGTGAGTGGATTTTGAGCTGTTTTTAGGCTGTTACAAGATTGACAGGAGCCTGTACTTGCACTCACTCTTGCGGGTGAACCGCTTGAAGTTATTGATAAGTTTGTGTATTTGGGTAGTTGTGTGAGTGCTGGCGGAGGGGTGACGGATGAGATTTCCAACCGTATAGTCAAGGCTAGGGTGGCATACATCAACTTGAGCTATCTCTGGCGCCGTCGCTACCTTAGCCTGGCTGTCAAAGGTCAGGTATACAATGCTTCGGTGCGGGCTACCCTGCGCCTACGCCTGTGAGACGTGGCCTCTCCGAGCTGAGGATGTGCGGCGGCGACTCTGCGTGTTCGATCATCGCTGTCTCCACAGGATTGCTTGCGTTCGATGTCATCATCGCGTAAGTAATTCTGAGGTTCGGCGGCGTGTGTTTAAACGCAGTGGTAATCACCATTCATTGAGTGTCGTCATCTGGAAACACCGGCTCCGGTGGCTTGGACATGTGCTCCGAATGTCATCCCACAGGCTTCCGTACAGGTCTCTGTTCACTAGCCAGCCCTGAGACGGGATGGAAAAGGCGGAGAGGTGGTCAGTTCATGATGTGGCGTCGTGGGATGAGGGATTTTTGTGCTGGATTGGCATCGGTCGGTGTGTCACGACTCCCTGGTTGGGGTCCGAGAGACGGCTCGAAACGTTATCGGATATGGTCAAGAATCGTAGTCATCAATGGCGAACGTGTTGCAATTTCCTTCTTTCTTCCCTTCCCGATGATAGTTGACAAATACTGTTTCAACTTGTCTTGAAGTATGACTGTTTTCCTTCCAGATGAAGTTCTTAATCCGTTCTCTACTTATACTTTTTTACTTTTGATCTGTGTTGTTTTATTATTATTGTGTGGCGCATCCTTCTTGGTGCCATATTGTACCAAGTTTTAATGCTTTTTAATAAATAAATGAATAAATAAATAAATGATGTTTTTAGTCAACATTTTTCGGAAATATTTCAATGGTCAATGTTGTTTATCTATTTGTGTACTTTGGTTGTATTGTACTCATTCACTGTGATTGTTGTTTATTTTTCTTGTAACTTTCAAGTGCTCAATCTCGATTATTGGCCTTATTGCCTACAATATATCGTGGTATAGAAAAACAGACGTCGCAGTCGTCAAGTAATAAATGGAATCATTTCAAAAAATGAATCGAGTAGGTTGAACTTGCTACTTTTTTGTATCTTGGTGTATGTGTGTGTATTTGTGTGTGTCTCGTCGACACCTATCAGCTATTGTCAGTTGTATTATTATTGAAACAAACAGGAGGTGCACCGCACAAAGTCCCATAGATTGTGCGAGGATCGAGATACACTCTCCCCAGGACTCCCAGACCAAAGCAGGTTATTGCCTTATGTGGCCACTCCGCGAAACTTTGACTTGGAGATTGATCTACGGTGTAGTGGAACAGTGTCGGGAGCTATCTTATCCTAGTTTTTGGTTACCGAAACAAGCTTATACACTATTCGATCTAATCAGATTCTGGAGCCAATGTACATCATAGGTTTGGAATTAGAGTTTCCCACGTTCCTTAAGCAGATATCTGCTTTTCCAACAGTGGTTGTAGGCGGGAGACGTCCGGATTCTCCCTTTCACCTTGGTGAAGAACACGTGGTAACCTGTCAGAGGCTGTGAATGCGGGAGGACCGAAGTCTACCAGTCTCATTTGTACCAGGTGGTTTATAGGCTCGTTGTTAGTTGTAGGTATTTTTTGACGGGTACGTCGGCGGCACAGAGGTAAAATGCTCACCAGCCACTCACGATGCCCGACCTACACACTCCTGAACCTCGCTTAGCTGTTAATAAGCTCGGTAAAGAGGGGAATTTGGGCTTGAGACTAGCAAGCCCGCTCGGTAAAAATAGGACCACTGCTACCGAAACATAAAAGCTCTAGCTTACAAAATGCAAAGTCTTCTGAACACCTTGAGCAGCAATCTTCCTATGTTTGGCATGCGATTCGCCCCTGCAAAATATAAGATGCTGCTACAGGACTGGACTACGTCAACTCCTAGCTATGTGATAGGGAGTGAAGTGATGGAACATGTTGACCACTTCACCATCTCTGGTGTAAGCGTGACATCCGGCTATCAACCAAGGGACGTGTGTACTGCTCAGGAGTTCGCTCCATCCTTCTCTGTGGCTCTGAAACATGCCCAATACGAGTTGAAGACATGAAAAGGTTGACTGCTTTCGATCATAGATGTCTACGATCTCTGTCCCACATTAGGTGGTTTAATAAGGTAAGTAATGTTGACGTTAGGCGTAGAGTGTTGGGCAAAGAGGGAAAGTCAATCGACGAGGCTATAAAGTTACATAGATTGAGATGGCTAGATGACGTGCTGCGCAACGTGCCTAACCATCGCTTCCCCCGACGGGCATTGCTAGCTGATATAGATAGGTGCAGGTTGGAAAAGAGTAAGTCGTGGCCAAACAAAAACATGGCATGAATCCATGAAATCCTCGACAGTTCAACTGAGTTAGGTAGGTAGGGAGATGCAGACATCCGGGTTGGGGCCCTCGGGACTGACTCTAGGAATCAATGGCTGGAGACAATAGGTGGTGACATGGCTCAAAATCGATGTCAATGGCCAGTGCAGATGTATTCAGTCTCTGTAATCTTTCATATTCCTTTCTACCATTACCCATTCTGTTTCGCTCTTATACCTGTCGAACTCTATTGATTCTCCTCACTCATCTTCTTGTCTACCTCTGTGTGGTATTCGGAGCGTGGCAACTCGAACTGGTGCACTTCGGTGCCAAGTTCTATGTTAAATCTAGACAGAGAGAAAAAGAAAGCTTTAGCCTGAAGCCTCCTATGTTCCACTGGTAATGCAAAGGAATAAAATTGATAAATAATAAGTCATTTAACGGCATTAAAGATGCTCAACATATGTACTCGTTGACCTCATATGGTTGGTTATCTTTTTTTATATCTGACTTGTCAGATGTAGAACTTTGCACAAAGCACTGCATCAATTTAATGTTGTTGTCACATTTCAGAGAAGCACATACATTCACATGTGCACAAAAGTAGAGAAGAGAGAAGTGCAATGAAACTATAACGGTTTAAGAGGTCTAAAAGAGAAGTAATCCAGTGAAGATTAGTGTGTGGGGATCTTCAGAATTTAGGGGATAAAAGAAACACTGACTGGATCTGAGTCATTGTTGATTGTTTTGAGCCATTAAAAAAAAGCATCTCCAGCCATTGGTTGTCTCAGCGTTTTGAGGACCCCAACCAGGTAGTTTCCACCTCCCTATTGTTCTGAGTAGAATATAAGGCTCCAATGACGCTACACAACTCCACTTTCTTCTATTCTATTTTATTATCCCCTTTTCTATTCGACTTCAACATAGATGTACTAATGGAATTAACCCTAAGTGACATCAGCGATTCAGGGATTGACTTGCTACCAGGGAATAATCTCGTTGACTTGGAATATGCAGACGACATAGTCCTACTAGGCGAGGACTCGGAAAAAATGCAGAGTCTTCTAAACACCTTGGGCTGCAACTTACGAATGTTTGGCATGCGATTCGCTCCCGCCAAATGCAAGATGATGTTACAGGACTGGAACACATCGACGCCTAGTTTAAAAATAGGAAGTGAAGTGGTAGAGCACGTTGACCGCTTCACTTATTTGGGAAGTACCATCAGCCAGTACCAATCTCAGCACGAATACAAGGGGCTCGTTTCGCATTTGTTAGTTTACGCCGACTCTGGCGTAGAAGAGATGTTCGACTATCGACCAAAGGGCGGGTGTACTGCTCATCAGTCCGCTCCGTCCTCCTTTATGGTTGTGAGCGATACCTGGCCACTGAGAGTGGAAGACATGAAAAGACTAGCTGTCTTTGATCATAGGTGCCTGCGGTCTATCTCCCGTGTGAAGTGACATAATAATGTGAGCAATATTGAGGTTAGGCGTCGAGTGCTAGTTAGGTGGGAGGGGAAATCAATCGACGAAGTCGTGAAGTTATACCAACTGAGGTGGTTAGGACATGTGCTACGTATGCCAAGTCATCGCCTTCCTAGACGAGCAGTGTTAGCGGATATAGAGTCAGGCTGGAAAAAAGCTAGCGGCGGTCAAACAAAAACTTGGCACCAGTCAATGAAATCCACAACAGTTAGTCTAAGCCACGTAGGAAGGTGTAGACTACCTGGTTGGGGTCCTCGGGACGATAAAAATCAATGGTTGGAAACAATTGGTGACATGGCTCAAAATTGTTCTCAGTGGCTAGCGCAGATGCATCCACTCCTTGTGACTTATGATCTTCACCAATGAAACTGTTTTGTTCTTCGTTATTACTCCTTTGTCTCACACCTCTGCTCACTGTTTCTATTATGCTTTTCTTGTACTTTCTTCTCTTGCTTCGCGTGCTACACGGAGTGTGGCGACTTGAACTTCCGCACATTTGTGCAGAGTTCTATGTCGAAAACAAACAGACAGACAGATTCTCTGCCGTCCTCCTCAACTGGGTCCATGATTGCCCATAATCTCTGATCTCCTTCTTGTGATCCTTGCACTGACGACTCACTCGTCACTTCCTATTTGGATTTCACTCCCTATGTGTCTAGCTAAAACCATCTGTCAAAGACTTGATTGATTGATGGCAGTATTTCTCTCATCCACCCTTTACTATTTTCCAATCTAATCCTATTTCAGGTAACATTACTCACCGAGAAAGGCGGTGACTCAAGATGCGTAACATGCGTCTTCTAGCCATCTCAATCGATAAGGATTCACAGCCTTATCTATTGACTTACTCTCCTTACCTAAAACCTACGCCTAACCTGAATGTCAGTCACCCAACCATCTTATACCATTTAATACGGGGGATAGAATGCAAACATCACATGTCAAGAACAGCTAACCTTTGCATATCTTTCACTCACTGAACTCTTTTTATAAAATGAATTTTTTTTTTTAGTATTTTAACAATATATTATGATAATGATTTTACGTGAAGAGTAAAGAGAAGTGATCTCATTAGTTGTGTTTAGAATGTGGGGTCGGGATGTCTATTGTACTGTGATTCGTGCAAAGGAAGTGGTCAGTGTGTAACAACAGAAGACAAGGTACAGGAAACAGATCGTTTATTGAGAAAACCAAAAGATTTTATGTACATTATTATTCGTTATCTTAGCAGGGAAGCAACGTCTTCTGATTTGTTGTTTTGTTGTACTGCTTGTGACCGTTTCTTAGAAGGTTGAGCCATATATTTGCGAATCGTATTTGCACACGTTAAGTCTAATGTGATTGTTTGTTGAGTTCTTCAAGGTTAGGCTTTGTTATTGCTTCATCCCGTGACCCCGATTCGGGACGTAAACATTGACGTAAATTGTTGTCTACAATTTCGGCTTGCAAACAGCTTTCCCCACAAGTGTAATTAATGATTATTTGATGTGGTTTGTTCCTGAGCTGGAGTTAGTTGCGAAGCTTCAATCATCACCTGAGCTACAAATCTTCTCTATCTGTTATTTTCAATAATTTTAAGAGAATTCTTTTTTCTTTTTCTCTATATTTTCTATGTAAAGGGTATACCTGCCTATCGACATGCTGCATTCATGTTAAATCGTGATTTAGCACTGGCTCTTCCAGGTCAATTAGGAGCTTATTTGAATAATATACTAACAATGGTACAAACATCATCAGCGTAAGTTATTCTTGTGTGTTCATTTGTTTCCCTATTATGACTATTATGCACTGTGTTTATTTTGAGTGATTATATGTTCTCAAAACTGATTGCTAACTGACTTCACAGTTAAAAAATCATTGAAAATTACCAGGGAGTACTGGGAAGTTGTTTCGTCCTTGTTTGGGGCTCTTCAGACGAACATGTACCAATGACACTACCTGGGGGATCACATCCTTGCAAACCAGTATACTTGAATATTATATATCCCAGTGGGAAGTGGCGAGCGAGTCATCAGTGCGAGGGGTGGCATGGAGGAGGTCGTGCAAAAAAAGGAGATGATAGATTATGGGTAATCGTGGAGTGAGCCAGCTGAAGAGGATGGCAGAAGACAGAACAAAGTGGAGATGTGTTATTGAAGCCCACCTATGTTCCACTCGGAACCCAAGGGAATAATATTATTCTAATGATAAGTCGACAGGCCAAACAGTTACAGAAAATAATATCACGATTTATACGAGAGTATGAGAAACAAGAGAAAACATTTGGTTCAACGAAAAGATTCTATTCAAGTATTAGATCGTTGAGATTTGATTGATCCCAAGTTCAGTTGGAGAACCACAACAACCAGTTGTTCCGCCCTCTCGTTTGGGATTCTTCAACAGTACGCATTCACATAACAACGGATCATCGAACCTAGGAGCCGCAGGTGTCGGACGAGGCGAACATATCAATGCCATTTTTAGCCACTGGAATCAATTAAAGTCCTGTAAATTAAGCATTGGAAACTAATCTAGTGCTAATTAGCGACTGACGATAGAATAAGTTGTTGTGATGTTCTAGTTCTAATATTTTATGATGAAGAATGGTTACACTGGATTAAAACACTTTCCCCTATGTAGGTCACTATTATCATGATATTATTTATTGCCTTGGCTGCCGAGCGGAACATAGTGACAGGACCCAGCACGAAAAATAGTATATCATCCTTTCTCACGAATTGTGTGATTTATTTTGTGATGCAGTTAGCATATGTGAATTCCATCATTTCTCAAGCATATTGTGATTTAGTGTGTGAGATCAATTCATCGTCCTTTGTCTCACCTTGGACTTTGTCAGATCACCAACCAATCAGAACAGAAATTTGCAGCCAATAAGAACAATCCATTCTCAAGGTTGTGAACCGACTTCATTATGGCTGGTTAAGAAAATGTATAAATATCATGTGTTGTTTCTTAAACTACATAGCGTAGCGTTAATTCAGTATCTTAAATTCACAGGCCAGCCTTTGTCTTTTGATATTTGCGTGGATCCGTAAATCCGAAGGTATAATGGACAAATAGACGTATTAGCATACCAGTCGAGTTCATTACCGTTATAGTAATTAACAGGCGCAGGTATAACAAAGTAGCGAACGGATTTATTCGGTTCACTTCAGTTATAAAAAATTGGCGACGGGGTCAGTTCCGTTCAGTCATAACAGGTGGGGCTTCGACGACACATCTCAACTTTGTCCTAATTGCTGCAGTCTTCTTCAGCTGGCTCACGCCACGAGTGCCCATAAACTGTCATCTCCTTTTTTCGCACGATCTCCTCCTTGTCACCGGCACACTGATGACCCACTCACTGCTTCCCACTGAGATTACATTCTGGTGATGGATTGGTACGCTATGTCACTCGATGGTCTCCTCGATGTATGCCCGATCAGTCCATCTCCATTTTCTCTTACATACTTGTTGAACGATCGGCTCTTGCTTGTTGGTTTGTTCCCAGCCCGAGTTTCCTGTTGCTAATTCTTTCTAGCCGGTTCACTGGCCATTCGATCTTCAGTATTGAGCCAACCAGCGAATCGGAGAGTTGTTGATAAAAATCTGTAACTTGTTGGAAATCATTTTCGTGATGCGCACCTCACGTTTCTGACCCGTATAGAAGGGCCGACTTGACATTTGTTTTGAAAATCCGAATCTAGTACTTTACGTTGATTGAGTGAGGCAGATTTTAAAACTGGTTTCAGGTCGACGAAGGTGTATTTTGCCTTTCCGATTCTGGCCTGCTATGACTTGTTCATCCATCCTGTCCGCCTGCGCGTGATTGGAACGTTACTCCCTAGCGAGACAAGTGAAAGGAGTAACCCCTTTCAACTCTCTCCCGTTAGTGGTGATTGGCGTTGGTTATTCTTCATCGACTCCATCTTCTTTATTTTCACCTGGAGTCTTGTCTTGAATGCCAGCCTGTTCTGCCATTTTGTTGATTTTCGCCTTCTATTCTTCGAGTATGTGTGACACTAGACATAACCCATCTGTCAAAATCCAGGTCTTCTAGAGTCTTCTTGCCGGTGGTCCAGTGTATCCCTGTCTCCTCGCCCCCTGTACCACAGTCTTTCGCATAATCCAGTCCACCACAATTAAGAATATCATCAGTGATAAAATAGGCAGCCAGTCTGTTTTGTCTTATTCTCCTGTCTTCAGTAGAAAGGCTTTGCTGAGTGTTTTCCATTGTGGGTTACCTGACACGCGTGGCATTGTCATATATATATATATATATATAGATATATATATATATATATATATATATATATATATGACACCACTGCACATCGTGGTGTTGGAACAGTTTCCAAATTACTTCTCGTTCAACGGTGAGCTGTCGAAGGTCTTTTTGAATTGGTCGATGAGGTTAAGGTATAGAGACAGGTTTAACTGCCATTGGTCTATCCACTCAATAAGACACTCATATTTTGTTAACTATTTCCCAGTTTTTATTGCGCATAGCTGACTTCTCTTACAATGTGTTAGCATTATGCATGCAGTTTACTATTTGTTTTCTAGGCCTTTACATTATTATTATTGTTAGTATTATTATTATTGCTATGACTAATTACTTAATTTATATTCACAATCACTTAACATCCTCATCGTCCTATTAAGAAATCATTATGATTGATGTATATTCATGTGATATGAGTATGTAAAGTTGTGTGTGTGTGTGTGAGTGTGAAAGTAGAGGTAAACTGAAGTCTTCACTTTCATGTGTTGTCCAATATACGCAAAAAATGTGCAAAATTAATTGTGAACATTTCTTATTTAACATACATACAAATGAAAAGTCGAACATTTACATTTTCGAAAATTATACCGATATTCTTTGAAGAAGGTATTATTATTATTATTATTCCCTTGGGTTTCGAGTAGACCATCTATTTGGCGCTATCTTCTTCGGCTGGCTACGATTCCATGATTCCCCATAATCTCTCATCTCTTCCATGTCACCGTTGCATCAACTACCTACTCGTTGTTTTCTATCGGGGTTCCACTCAAGCGATAGCCTACAATGCGCGCTATGTTATTTGACGGTTTCCTAAATGTATGTGCCCGATCCAATCCATCTCCATTCTCTCTTACATATTTGTTGAGCGATTGACTCTTTCTTGTAGGTTTGTTCCCAGCCACAGTTTCTTGTTATTAATTCTTTCTGGTCATTTGATCTTCAGTATTGAGTCAGCGAAGTAGGCTGTTGTAGATGTTAATCAGCAGTAGCCTATTGGAAATCATTTTCGTGAGGCACGCACCTCAAGTTTCTGACTTGTATAGAAGGACCGATATGACATCGGTGTTGAAAATCCGAATCTTATTCTTCATACTGGCTGAGTGTAGAAGATTTACAAACTAGTTTCAGGTTGATGAAGACATATCTTGTCTTTCCGGCTCTGGCTGGTTGGCTTTAACATCTTCATCCGTGCTGTCCGCCTGTGTGTGTGTGTGCGGTTGAAACGATGCTTTCTAGCCAGATAAGTGAAAGGAGTGACCTCTTTCAAATCTTTCCCGTTGATGATGATTAGTTCTGGTTGTTGTTGCTGTTGGTTGGTAGGTAGTCTTCGTCACCACCATCTTCTTGATGTTCACCTGCAGTCTTGTTTTCGCTGCTTCTTGAGCTATTTTGTTGGCTTACATCCGGAATTTTTTGAGCTTGTGTGACATTAGACATATATCATCTGCAAAATTCAGACCTTCTAGAAGAAGGTATATATATTACTCGAAAAAACTGTATTCATGCCAATACATTTGTGATAATGATATCAGTAGACCTATGTTGTGTGAAGCTTGGTGACACTAACCTCCTCACCTTCACTAAACCTCGTTGGGTGGAGCATGATTTGAGTTTCTGATATACTTGTTCAAAGACCTGGGTGATTGCCTAACGAGCTACATTAACATATACACTAAAAAAAATGATCTGAAGTACAACACTACTGACGTGAGTCACAGGAGAACAATTGAAAATGAGTGGGTAGTAAGCGGTGAATATATATATATATATATATATATATATATATATTATATAACAGAGTCAGAAGTTAGAATTCATTGGGTTATTGGTTTCCCTCCCAGTGGCTCAATAGTCATCGGCTTCGTTTCGTAGCCCGAAGAAAGGAATACTACTGCTGAAGAGTCCTAAACTAGGCTGAAACATCTGTCTAATACTCCCTGGTGGTATTCAGTGGGTCTCTAACTGATATCATCAGTCCGTGGTCAGACTTGGATTAAGTCAAATTCCTACAAATGGACACTTGAAAATTAATCTGATGCCTTACTAGTGACTGGCTACACAGGACGAAGTTACTTGTGAGAAGTCATGATCACTGGGGTCTACCAGGTTTGAGTGTTAGAACAAATAATCGCTGATGACAGTAAATGGTAGTGGTACCAATAGCCGCAAACTGAAAGAAGTTAAAATTTTGATGAACCACTAGATTCTGTCGCAGTGTCTGAATGGTTAACGAGACTACCTGGTAACCTAAAGGCTATGGGCTCGATTTTCTGTTGAGTGGGGTCATGGATACACACTCCCTGGAAACCAGAACTTGCAAATCAGTTTCAGGATTTCATCATGAACTGACATCAGTTAGAGGACCATTTTAAAGCCTGGGAGTACTGGACAGAGTTAGCTGCTTCGCCGTAGTTTGGGACTCTTCAGCTGATTAGTGTCTGACCCTATTCAGGTAGGTAGTTATCTGGGTTCTAGTAGCAAGTCGTGACCAGTGGGATTCAGCAGGTCGGGTGTGTACACAAATACTTGCCAGCGATGGCATTCGCTAGTGGTCGTGCCATATCATGAACTGGAGCAGATTTTGGAATTCATGGGTTGGCCATTGAGTCGGGTTCCAGTGGCTTAAAGGTCTACGAGCTCGCTAGTGTTGTACCCAGAAGGTCTTGAGTTCGAACCCCTGCATGGGGTGCGTACTGATGAGGAGTCCCAGACAGTTGACGAAACAGCCAGCCTCTCAGTACTCCCTATTGGTTTAGTAATGGTTCTCTAACCGATGTCAGCTCATGATGAAATCCTCCAACCGATCAAACGAAATCCTTGCAAACCAATTCTTGAATATTGAAAATTAGTGTTTTCTTTGGATAAAAATAGTGTTTAAATGCAAATTTTTTTTATTTAAAATTATACTTTGAAATATTGTTTGTTGTTTTCGCTTTATATTGACGTATATTTAACTTTGTATTTCAGTGATCCGAATACAAGTCATACAGCTAAAATGGAAATGATTAATGTTATCGTTTTATTGTTTAACACACATCCAGCAAGTTATTTCACATCAACACTTGATCTTCTAGTTCAGGTAAGTGCATATTTTAATGTTGTTATACAAACTATATATAAAAATGACTGCTTATTGCCTACTTTGATTGTTGAACACTACTAAGTAGTAAAACTGTGCGTTGGTGACTCACTGGTAGGATGCTCATCAACCACACCGCATGTGGTTCGAGGTTCGATCTCTGACCGACTCACTCCTTTACCTTGCTAACGCATTAATAATAAGACTGATAAAGGGGTAACGTTGGGCATGAGGCTGGCTAGCAATCCCATCCTGTTAAACAAAAATAAACACCACTGCTACCGAAACTTCAAGCCTCTATCTTAAGCTAAAGGCACCCTGTATGTTCCACTGGAAACGTAAAGGGATAAAAAAAGAGAGTAGTAAAACGAATATCATGCGTCCAAGTCCTTTGTTTTGGTGTAGATTGAATTCTGTCGTCAGTCAAGTTTGCAATGTGGCAGCCATCGTGTCAGATAGATGAGCACTGTCTATCACGTTGCATTTTAAATCGTTGTTAGTTGGTTATTTGGTTGGGGGGGGGCAACAGGGGTGAGGAAGCCTTGCAACAATTTTTCGTGGTTGTTGGTACTTGTCAGGAAGGTGTATCTCTAGCCCTGAAGGAAATACTCCTCATATCTCTTCTGAGATTCGAACTTAGAGTCATAGAGTGGTACAGTCAAAGACTGTGTTACCACTGACCTATTCGGTCTGGCGATTAGACGTAAATCATCTGCAAAGTCCAGATTTTCCAGATCCTGTCTTCCTGCCCAACGTATTCCTGTCGTCTCACCCCCCTCCAGTGCATGCTGCATAATCTGTTATCATTCTTTTATTCCTTCGTGTTCCCAGTGGAACACAGGGGCTTCAAGCTAGAGCTGTGAAGTTTCAGTATCAGTGGTGTTTATTTTTACGGGATGGAGTTGGTAGACAGCTGCATGCCCAACTTTCTCTTTTTGCCGGGCTTATGGTGAGTTAAGAGATGTTTGGGTGTGAGTCGGGTGGGGATGGAACCCTGGCCCACCTGAGTGGCTGGTGAGCATCCTACCTCTGCGTCACGGACGCACATATTGCATGATCCAGTCCACCATAATTAGGAATATCACTGGTGATGATGGACAGACAGTCTTGTCTTACTCCTGTGTTTACTTCAATGACTTCTCTGAGTATTTCATTGTTAATCACTTGGCATATGGGTATTGTTGTTGTTGTTGTTGAGTAGAAGTGGTTTATATATATATATATATATATATATTTTTATATATGTCGTTTTTACTGTTTGGGTATCTTTAAAGTATAACTCATTTCTCCTTAATTGATGTGCTTCTCTTAAATTCATCATATTACAGCTCACTGTTCAGTCGGTCAATAATACATTCTATCGAGTCGCTCTGGAAGGTTTGGATCTACTTCAACTTTTGTGTACACAATTGAAGAGTTTAGGTAAATTATTATTATTATTGTTTTGTTTTCATCAATATTGATTGAAACAAGTGTTCCCACAACTGATGCTCGTTATTGGTGGTTCAATGCTTTTGTGAAGGCGATTGCTAACCATATACATTGTCCAGGTTAAATTCTTGAATGGTGTACTGCTAGATCTCACCTAGTTAGTATGCTAGCTGGCAGTATGCCAAGAGACGAAGGAAGGTTATGAAAGGTATCCAAGCACATAGAGATACTACTGTGGCGTGTACTACTGATAAGATTTATCAGTAGTTTGTATAGAAAGAAATTTTCATCGGCATTACGAAATATCAAATAGTAGGGAGATAGATTCGATGTCAGAGAAAGCAAATGATACAGCGTTGCAGGGATACATAGGAGACGTGATAGGAACACAGTATGAAGGAAGGCGAGAAGTTCGCCAACATGGAAGATCTGTGCAAATGGTGCATTGAAGATAAGGTGTAGATAATTTGGCTATATAAAGATACCAAATTGCAAATCAACATTCCTTTACGAGGTATTTCGTCTTCTCCTTTTACTCTACTACTACTACTGAGGTGAGAGCTAGTTGCAAGGCAAAAATTGTAGACAGCAATTTACTTCAATCTTACGTCCCAAATGGGGAGTCCAGTAACAGATTTTAACCTTGAGGAATTCACCACCAACCACAGCTGACGTTACGTGTGCAAATACGATTCGCAGATATATATATATATATATATATATATATATGGCTTAACTTTCTGAGAAATGGTCACAAGCAGTAGAGAATAACGTTCAGGGAGAAAACAACCAATCCGTAGAAGCTGATTTTCCGCTGACAATAATGTACATAAAAATGTATAAATACCTCTTGATTTTCTCGATAAACCTTGTCTGCCGTCGTTGAACTGCTAGTAATGTGGTGAGAGGTGGTTGTTAGCCAAAAGTGGTAGACAGTGTTTTACGTCAATGCGTGTGTCGCAAATATTGGTCGTACGAAAATATGAACAAGACTGATTCAACAACCAATCAGAGCAGACTTGGCGTAGGCGTATACAGTTAACATATAAATGGCCTGACATTCAAGAAACAGTCACAAATAGATGCGAGATCAACTATCTGGGAGAAACAACCAATCAGAAGAGTGTGTTTGTTTGCTTGAATAAGCTATAATAATGTACATGAAAATATATAAATACGTGTTGATTTCCTTAATAAACGATCTGTTTCCTAGCCCTTGTCTTCTGTTGTTACACTAATAATAATAATTTCAGGTGAGACCACAGATTGAACCATTGAATACCAGGGAGTACTGGATAGCTGCCTTTTTCATCCTAGTTTGGGTTTCATCGGCAGTACGCACCTACTGGGCCCGAATCCACAACCTTCCGGTCGCAAGGCAAGCTCGTATACCATTCAGCCTGTGCAGTCTAATTCAATGATCCATGAATCCTAACTTCTACCAATTCATGATTTGGGTGCGACTACCAACCACTGTCATCGGTGAGGCATCCATCTCACTCACACTTGACTGGATAAACCTTACTGGTCACGACGTCTCACTAGAACTCCACGAAACTTTCTCCTTTACTAAGTCTTTCGTCTTCTACCTTGTGCACTACGAGGATTAATGCTCCATCTAATTCAACTTGGGTGACAACTAGTTAGCATCACTATGTCAGTCCTCACACAATGTGTATGTGTGACCGACAGTCTCATTAGTTCTTGGCAATTGTGTTCCAGACAACTGAGTTCACTCTGACAACATGTGCATCGCAATCAGAGTTTGGAAAAAGTATGAAATGTTTTATTTATTTATTCTGGTTCTTCCTTCACCTTTTATTTGATTTTTTTCTTCTCTCGTTTACCTTATATCTTCTCTAGGTGGTGAAAAATACGCTATGACTTTATTCACTCCACTTTTTAATCAGTTACAAGCCACAGATCGTGATCTTGAGTTGAAAGAAAAAGCGATTACTGTCTCGTAAGTTATATCTGTGCATTATCCTGTATTATTGTCAACAAGAATTCAGTAATTAGCAGACTTCAAATAAAATGTTAACTTGAATAAGGCATTAAGAAGACAAATTTCGCGAGATGATATCATTTCGTAGTTTCTTTACAACCGCTTTACAACTAACATGGTTAACAATGATAAAATAAAGTTCATGAAAATTACTCAGTTAAATAAAAACAAAAGTACATACTAATGACCAATCATATTTAAATAGGTCATGCAGTCCAGGGTAGGCGAAGATTGAAGTCTATTGATTTTTGTATACACAGTTTAGGCTGTGTGTGACTGATCCAAAGTGCTTCCATCACCTTCAATAACCTTGAATTAGAGTTATGTGAAATAATTGTGAAACAGTCATTAATATTGATTTTGTGACCTGACATTAATAAGTGTTTTGCAATGGATGATGCTGGATTTCTACTAAGATTAATCGCGTTAGGATTTTCGATATGATTTAGTAGCCATTTTGGAACATGTTCCTTTCGACGACATTGGAACATTCTGTTGGTTCTACCTATATAGGTGTCACCGCAACTGCAGGTGAACTTGTAGATACAGTTTGAAGTAGAGTCCACAGAATTTCGTCCTTTAATCGTAGGTACAGGGATCGAAAATGTTCGGCAAGTGAGAAAAAGAGATGCGGTGGCGTAGAATGTGAGTTTGATGGCTGACCGAAGTCTTTGAGCTATCAACTGCATAATCTGGTCGCCCTTGAATGGTAGATTAATAAAGATGGCTTTCTTTGGTACAGAAGCTGTCTTTTCAAGATGTGGTCTATCCTTACCGTGACAATTGATGAAGTTTTCTGGTTAACCATTGGCTAGTAAAACTGAATGTATATGTCGAAGCTCATCCATCAATGTGTCACTCGTGCATATTTTTCGGGTCCTTGAGAACAAACATTTCACTAGGGAACGTTTATACTGGATAGGAACAAAACTGGTAAAATGAAGATATTGTCCACTCCACGTCTGTTTACGAAAAATAGAGCGCTGAATCGTTCCATCATTTCTCCTAGTCATAGTAATATCCAGGAAACCGAGTTTGTTATTGGATTCTAGTTCGGAGGTCACTCGAATATTTGGATGGATATGATTAAATAGGGTGATAAAGTTTTCAATAGATTTGCTATTATTACTAATAATAAGAGTATCATCTACATAACGTTTGCACAGCATAAATTCTCCAAGCATACCTTGCATTTGTTTCCCTAATTTCGACATAAATATATCTGCTAACAGGGGCCCCAGAGGGCCACCCATTGCAACACCGTCGATTTGTTTGTATGCTTTTCCTTGGAATGTGAATCTAATATTTTCTGTACACATTAAGATGATGTCCTTGATGTACGTTATCAGTAGCATTGTCCACCAGAAATTCGGACTGATCCTTGAGGATATCCTTCATTTTATTTTCATAATCCGATTTGTTCATAATGACAACGCCTTCTCCCTTATCAGGTTTAAGGATCACAAGATTATCTTTTTGGATTAATTCCTTAAGTGCGGCGTGGTGTTCTTTTGATAAACCATTTTTCTGGTGTATTCTAGCATTTAGAAATTGATGAGAAATATCCACCAGCTTAACTTTAAACCAGTCTAGATTATCTTACCTCTCTAAACTGCTTATAAGACTCGTAAAGAAGGAAGGTTGGTCATGAGGCTGGCTAGCAACCCCATCCATCCGTAAAAATTAACACCACTGCTACCAAAACTTCAAGCCTCTAAATTGAAGCCGCCTATAGTTCCACTGGGAATGTAAAGGAGTGAAAAAACAAGATTGTATGACACAACGATGTCTGAACTGAAATGAAAACCCAATCCCTTATTATATTTCTTCTTTGTCTCTTTCAAGAAATCCATGACATTTGGTTGAGAGCCAATTTATAAAAAGTTCAGGAGAGTGTGTGTAAAACTTGGGCACTGTGGTATTATGTAATTCCATATTAGTTTGTTTATTAGATATATCACTCACAGTGAAACAGTATTATTTACTGAATGACGTTTCGAACAAAATTTATTGCGAGATTATGCGTCAGACAGTGGGAAACGAGAGACGGGACAGGGATGTCTTGGACCGACGTGAAGAACCTAGAAGACCTGGATTTCGCGCGTGGATGATTTATGTTTGATGTTAACAAAATCGAAGACTTACAAGCGAAAACCGACCGAAAAACTGGTCGAAGAAGCAGCCGGCGAAGACAGGACTCCAGGTGAACATAGACAAGACGGAGGTTTTGAAAATAACCAAACCACAACAACAACAGCAGCAGCCACATCCAGCGCCAATCACCATCAACGGGAGCGATTTGAATGAGGTTACTTCATTCACTTGTCATCTAATGAGCATTGCCTCAGCTACAGGAAGTCGAACGGACGAGGATGTCAAATCGAGCGAGAATCAGGAAGGCGAGCGAGAAACACATTCACTCATCAACCTGAAACCAATCTGGAAATCTTTGTCACTCAGCTCAGCATCAACAACAAAATTCGGTCGGATTTTCAATACAAACAATGTCAAGTCAGTCAGCTCTTCTATTCGGATCAGAAACTAGGCGGGCGAATACAAAGAATATTTCCAGCAGCCTGTTGCAGACCTTTATCAACAAGTGTCTTCGCTCGCTCTGTACTGAAGATCAGATGGCTGGGCCGAAAAGAATCACCAACAAGAAACTATGTGAAGGAACAAACAAAACAAGAACCAATCGCCAACCAACAAATATGCAGGAGAAAATGGATTGAGATGGATGGACACTCAGTGAGGAGGCCGCCGCTGGGTGACATCTCGCGAGCATCAGGCCATTGTTCGAGTGGAACCAGGCCGAAAGTGAAGCGGTGAGTGGGACGTTGGTATAAGGGTGACATGGAGGAGATCGTGTGAAGAGGAGTTGAAACAGTGTGAGCGGACTAACATGGATGGAGGTGAAAAGTACAGCGGAAGGAAGACAGAAGTGGCAAGTGGAGACGTGCAATTGTAAAGCTCTATGTTCCACTAGGAACCCAAGGGAACATTAATAATAATCATATCAATTGTGATATAATGTGAACAATATGATATGATTATGAACAATAAATTTTTTTCGTAACGTTGACAATTTGCCGATAGTCTCTCATCTCCTCCTCGAACGGTCTCCTCTATTTCACCCTCGGACGCTTCACTCATTGTTTCCCACTCGAGCAATGAATGGCCTGGCATGATGTCATCTAAACAGTCACCTCAGTGGTTTGTATGCCCAATACATCTCCACTTTTTTCACGAAAGAAAGTCGTCGTTGTTTGTTAATATTAGTCGATGCATAAGAGGAACTAAGTGAGTATATCTGGATTACGCAATACGATGAATAATTTCCTGAATGAGTTGTAATCAGGATGCACGCAGAAACGAAGAAAAATACTTAAGAGTTCAAGAAAAATGCAAGAGATATAAAGAGTGAAAGAAAAACCAAGAAAAAATCAAGCTGGTAGAAAAAGTAAAGGCGGGGGTTGTTACCATGTTCATAGAAGTGGTTCAATAATTTTCTTTTGTAAGGAAAGCTCAGGTTTTCTAACTGAATGGCTAAAGCTTCAGTAATGCAAAGGAGACGAAAATTTATTACCTTCGGTAGACTATTCTTCACTTAGTAGATTACTTTGAAGGAGCAGGTGTTTGTTGAGATAGGATGATCACCGGTGTTGACACAAGGTTTTCGATTATCGTACTCTTTATAGAACCACTACTACTTTTCTGCAACCATTCAGGATAGTGTTCGTGAACCCTTTTAGATAGGATACGCTACGAACGACCAATGCACCTGACTCTACAGCAACACAGATGGACTAATATATGTACATAGAGGTGGTCAGACATCTGCAGACCAATAGATGAGTGGAGAACACTACTCAAAGATGCTGTAAGTCTTCTTCTAAGGATATCACAAGCTAAGTCTCCCCTTCAAAATCCAGATTCATGTAGAGTAGTAGGTTTTTGTTCCTCTGAACTTTCGGTTTTATATTTTTGTCGATGAATCTTAGTGGGTATCCATTTCGGATGCAGGTGTTTTACTTTCAGAAATTCTAGTTCTGCTTCTAAGGCGTTAGGAGACTGCCAAATAGAGCGCCTTCACGCTGAACTATGCATTTTTAATAAGCTTCATGTATGTGGTTTTCGTTTTTTTCTTTTCTCCTCATTTTTAGTGCTGTATTTCTTGCACAAATTGGTGATCTAGTCACAACAAAAATTGATGACTGTTTAGATCTACTATATCGACGTCTAAAGAATGAATTAACTCGGTTAGCAGCTGTTCGTGCTATACAAATCATTGCTTCGTAAGTTTTTCTTTTTTTCCAGTTGTACATTATGCGGTTTTCGTTCCATGTGTGGAAGTATGAGTCCTTAGCTGCAGAAGCAGCAGCAGCGGCACACCTTCATTGAAGACACCTCTTGGTTCTTTAGTTCCACACAACTGTCCAATAGCCGCCTTCATTTCATTCCAATTCCCTCGCGATTTATACCATTAATAGCAATCACAGAGAGTGCAAGCATAAGTGGATGAAACTATATACCAATGATTGATTGATCGATCGATCGATTGATTTATTGATTGATATGCTTAGTTGGATATAACTCATACTAATCAATATAATGCTTACTAGCCAGATATAGTGAATTTGTAGTATATTAGATGGTTGGAGGCAATCGGCAGAAAGCCTTGGACCTAGGTTTCGTGCTAGTTGGTACTCGTCAGTAAGGCGTATCTGCAACCTTGGGCTCGGATCAATCGCAAACCCGAATAGCTCAGTGGTAACGTCTGTGACTGCAGCACTGGGTGACGCGGGTTTGAATCTCAGAAGGGACATGAGTTCCTTCAAGGTTGCAGATACGCCTTGCTGACTGGTCAGTGCCAACTGGCACGAAACCTAGGTCAGGTCAGGCTTCCTGTGGCCGATTGCCTCCAACATCTAATACCAACAGTTCACAGTGCACCGTGAAAGCGAGGCACTTGACCGATAGAATTTAGTCTGTACCAAAGAAAGGACTAGATGCGTAACACTAGTTACTATTGTCCAATCAAAGAATTTGTAGCATATATTACCAATTCTTCCGGTAGCTAGCCAGAATTCGAGGTGGTTTAAACTGGTTCTGCTCTCTAAATATTCAGTCGAATCGGATACACCGCTGATGAGGTTGACCTCCGAACAAGCAACACGACTCTTTGGTTGGCAGGTAATCCTGGTTGATATGAGGAGTATATCCGAATACTGATTTGATGTCATGCATTTAAGTTTGTATTTTCTTCTCACGTGATCTTTTCAATGTTGTTCTCAGCCATGGAAATGTGTATTGGCTTTTAAGTATACTACAAGTTGAATATTTTAAATGTATTTGCGTTTGTCTAGATTGTTGCCTCTGTCTTGATACCCGTTCTCTTCTTTAGTTACATACCGCATCCGCTTCCCGAAGGTGGAGATGTTACTTACGCACAAAAATGAAAGGGAAAGTGTGAAAGTCTGGTGTTTAGACATGCAGGTCTATCTGGGGGATCTGGAAAACCCTGACTTTGAACTTATGGTGTATGTGGACTCTAGAATTCGATTAGATCTAATGAGGGGGTGAGAGGGTATAAACCTTTTACGGTCACCAGAAATCATGGAGACGTAGGTACGCTGACTCTGTACCACTGCCTTGTAGATCAATCTACATGTGAAAGGCTTGGGAGTCGTGATCCGTTAAGACAATCATCTGCTTCGGTCCGGGCGTCTGGGGGGGAGGGAGTATCCTAGCCTGTGCACAAACTATGAGACAACCATTTATGTGGTGCATCTCTCGCTGTCCATGATATAACATGTTTGTGTATTTAATAATAGTAATATTAACAGAAATCATTATGCACAAATCGAATACAGATGGCTGGTGTTTTTTGTGTTCAATGTGAAACCTATCTCTAGATGTTATGTATTTGGAAATAAACTTGTTTTTGAACGCACAAAGATGGTTTAAACTTCCTAATTGCTAGGGCTTCCACAAACTTTAGGATACGCCTCAAACACGTTCTATAGATAGGTTTAAAAGATCTGTTAACGTCAATTTTATTTCCTGTCTCTGTAATATGTTTCGCGACAGAGGAGCTAGGTCGACCTTTGTTCTCACCATTAATGGGTTCTGAAGATTCCATTTGTTTTGGAGCGATTTTTAGGAATATGCTTGGAAGCACTTACTTGCAGAGATCGATGAGTCCTCCCATGTGTATGTGTGTCCACACGTACATTCAAATTGGTAAATACAGTGGGATGTGACATCATCTTTCTCATGTTTGAAGGACTTAGATAAATAGATATTGGCTTCACATTCTCAGTTATTATGATCTTAGCTGCATAAAAAGTCATTATAACCACAACAACGTTCAACTGATGTCGAGTTGTCAAGCTTCGATGATCACTTATATAGAGTAGCCTAATAATATACGTCTTTCTTAGTGGCGAGTTGGAGAGTGGGTCTTGGTGTTCCACTGATTACTTTATATCCCCTTATGAACATGTCTGGATAATTGTTATCAACCAGTGTTTGCGTCAACTTTCTTTCTTCCTCATTAAGTTTGTCTTTAGTGCACACTCGTTGGATCCTACTGAAGAGAGGCACCTTACTAAGGATCTTTTGTACTGAACACTTCTTTATTCCAAACAGTACATTTGATACAGCACGATATCGTCAGGATCTAGTGCAATAACTATTGACAGTTGGGGGGGGGCGGCGTATCCGAAAGTTTTTGGAAGCCCTAGCTGGCAATTAGAAAGTTTAAACCACCTTTATGCGTTCAAAAAACAATTCGTCATCACATTAAACCTTCCTTGGTAAAAAATAAACTTGTTCGAAGTTGACGACAGACAATTTGACTTTGATACATTTATTCCCCTTAATGAATTTGAACAAAGCAAGAACTACAGTTTTAGCAGAATAAAATGGTACCATCTTTTATTCTGCTAAAACTGTAGTTCTTGCTTTGTTCAAATTTGACCTTGATTGTGACATATTTTTGGCTTTATGCAACATACAATATGTGATATGTCTAGTTATGCTTACCACCTGTTTTCTTCCTTTTTACATTTCCCTCCCTGTAACCAGATCATCTGTTCGATTTGATCTATCGAAATTCTTGGTGAGTAGTTAATCATGGAAATTGAATGTATTTATATAATTTTAAAAATTCATGAATAGTCCTCATTTAGGCATTAGTATAGTCAATTGATAGAAATTAAAATTCATGGGCTGCTACTGAATTGTGTGTCCCATTGTCTGGAGTGGTTAACGGGGTTGGTCGTGTAACCTGAAGGTCAGGTGGTTCATTTTCTGATAGGATCATGAGGGTGCGCACTGTTGAAGAGTCCTTCACTGAGACGAAACAGTTGACCATTAATCTCTGGTTTCCACTATTTCTCTAACTGAAGTTAGTATGTGATCAAACTTGAAAAAAACAATCAAATCAGTGCAAATGGTCTCCTCAAAATTTTTATTTAAGTCTCATTTCGTAGTGTAATATTTTTCACTTGTCGTATACATGAATTATTTCTATCAATGTAACGAAAACACTTATTTGGTATGACTTCAAAAGATTGACTCGAGAAATGAGGAGAAGTTATGTTATTCTAGGTTACTTTTTGAGCTGTACAAAAGCTTTTGTTCATTGGAACTTGTGCACTATTTCTATAATTATCAAATCAAGTTAGATGTCGACTGACTCCATTTCTGTTAAAATTCATCATAGATGTAATAATGGACTTAACCCTGACTTCTGACTTCAGCGACTCAGGGGCAAAATTGTTACCATCAGGAAATAATCTCGTTGACTTAAAATATGCAATGATATAATCCTTCCTACTTTCTAGGTGAAGGTGCTCACAAAGTGCAGAGGAGCAGCAATCTTCGAATATTTGGCATGTGATTCATTCGCGTCAACTGTAAAATGATACTACAGGACTGGATTACATCGATACAATGTTAGCTTAAAGATAAGCAGGAGTGAAGTAGTAGAGCGCGTTGACCATTTCACTTATTTGAGGAGTTGCATCAGCCACAACGAGTTGATCACTGACAAAATCTCAGCATGGATACAGAAGGCTAGTTTCGCATATGGCAGTTTACACCGTCTCTATCATAGTAGACATGATATCCGGTTGGCTGTCGACTAAAGGGCGTGTGCACTGCTCAACAGTCTGATCTGTCTTCCTTTATGACTGTGAGTGAGACATTATACGACAGCCACCTGTTTCTGCAACTCTCTCTACTTAAGGGACAATACACAACGACATGACCAATGACGTATGTATGAGAGAAGATGGCTATCAATGGATATATACGCCTGGCCAGGGACATAAGTGTGAGCTAACATATATATCTAGATTGACTATGATCACCATCACACGTGACATAAACATGTGACATGTGATTTGTTTTTTTTTTCTGTGGCCACATATCACTACCGATTTTGCCCAGAGTGTGTCGATTAGACGAAGTTGGTCTGAAGTCTGAGAACCCTAGTAGTTTTCAATCGAATCCTTAAGTCAGCGGATTATATCTTCATATCTATTAGCTGAGTCGAAATCTGATTTACCGAACGGATATCATCATCCTAGTTATTGTTCATTTGCGCAAATACAAAGCATCAAATAATGGAATCATTAATAAAGACATACCATATTTGCTCTGTACAACACTTAGCTTCCTTTGATTATCGTTCAAGAATAATGAGCTATGGACTACCCCTAGGGTGTGCAGACTTCGGTCTTCCTGTTTAAATGGTATCGTCATGTAGATTCACGCGTTCATAGCATCTACCAGTTAGTTAAGTCCTATTCAAACACTGCCTTCCTCTAACGTAGTGTTCGTCACAGAAGTGAAATGATGAATGTGTGGACGCCTCCTGACGTTTACATCACCGTATTGGTAGACATGCAGTTTGGCCTGAGTGACCTGGAGAAGCTTGATTGCAAACTTATGATGTACTTGATCTCCAGAATCCGGATGGATTGGATGACAATATGTGAATCTTTTTCGGCTGGCTACCGAAAGCCACGGGGAACGCCGATCCACTATCACCATTTTATGGGTCAGATTTCAAGTCAAAGGGGTTGAGGTGGGTGGGCCCTTATAAACTACGGGATTTGGATGATGCACTCATACTATGTCAAATCTGTGTTTTAATGATAATAAATAAATAATTTGTTTGTCTTTCTCTTGCATCTTTTCCGAATTCTTTTCTTTCTAGCCTGCTTCTTCTGATGAACTGGCCACATTTCTGTCGAAAAATGATCGTACTCTACGTATGACTACATTACGTTGTCTATATACCATCTTATTGAAATATCCAAATTGTGTTGGACAGAATTGTTTAATGACTATATTGAATTTAATGCCAAAGCTACTTATTACAGAGCATGATTTACAGACGACACAGGTCAGTTAGTACTTTTGAACAAAGCAAGAACAACGATTCTATGTACCAGGATAATATGAGCTCATCTTTTATTATTATTTCAAGGATTCTTCTCAACTGGTTACAACCTAAACGATAAAAAATATGAATTACATTAAAGATTTGAACATACTTTTCCACGATCACAAGGAGTAATTGGTTGGTAGGAAGTAAAAGTAACATTAGTCCGGAATGATTTAAGTGATTAGGAGTTACAAACACTGACTATTTATAGAATAATTAGACAACTAGGCTTGAAAACAAAAAACAGGGTTGCGTATATATATGTGTGTATAGAAACAAGGTTTAGCTAGAAGGAGCGTAACAAAAAAGTAGATTACGTAACCAAGGAAAACGTCTTATCTAATAGCCAATAGAGAAAAGGAAAGAAAAGAAACAAGGTAGGGTGAGTCGTGTTTAGATGAGAGAGTAGAGTTTTCTAAACATGAGAAAGGTGACTCATGAAAGTTGTATATGTATATTTTTTTGTTATCACCAGGACAGTGCAAGATTCACCATTGTCTCTTTCTGTGTACATAGATTTGGTTTAAGTCGTTTGATAGCGATTGCTTCAGCAAAGTTAGTATTTGGTGGTTGGTTGGTTGGCGGGTGGGTGGTAGGGGAGAAAGAAGGAGTAACTGAATATAGATTTCTTTTATAAGTATATACGCGTATTTACGTTGGTTCGATTTAGTGGGCCTCGAATGCCACTCCACGAATGGAATCAGCTCATTTTATATAGCTCGAGAATGCTTTTCATTATATATAATTGTATCATTGCTAACCTTTTTGCGAAATGGTTGCGCTATGTCGTGAATCGGAAGAAGTTAGAATTCAAGGACCATTGGATCGTGTCCCATCGGCTCAATGGTCTACGTGCTCGCTAGTCTTGTAACCAGGAGGTCCTCGGTTCGAACCCCTGTGGGTGGGTGCGTACTGATGGAGAGTCCCAAACTAGGCTGACGAAACAGCTGTCCAGTACTCTCAGCTGGTTTTCCAATAATTCTCTAACCAATGTCAGCTCATGATGATATCCTCCATGCTAAATTATTTATTTATTGATTTTCCCCTTGGGTTCTTCTGAGTAGAACACATAGTGCTTCAACAGCACATCTTGATTTCATCCTATTATCTACCGTAGTCCTTTGTAACCGGCTGCATGATTTCTCCTAAGATTTCATCGCTACCTTACACCGCTGCTTACCATTCAGGTTTCATTTGAGGGGGGGTCTACCTTTCGCGTGATGTGCCACCCAACAGTCTCCTAAGCATGTCTCCGATTCATATTTCCTCTCTTTAGATTGTTTCTTATTCTGTTTACAAGTGATTGTGATTGGTGTTGTGATGATGTTTCGCTCTGTACTTTTTAGCTTTTCATACTTCTTGTCACCTAATCGATCATTGACTGATTTTGTTGATCTGTTATATAGTAAGATGATTATACCCTGTTGAATCACCCTCAGTGTAGTCTCAGGTTATATGTTAACTTAATATTTAATTGATAATGGTTTCCGGCATTGGAATAGAAAGAAATTTGTTGTTGCGTGACTTCAGAGCCCGTGGGATGACTGCTTGAGGTGGCCGGTCATAGACAGCCTTTGTTCGAATTGGTTTTTAGAATTGCATCCGTATTAAAATCTTACCACCAGCTACGGACTGCCACCGCGTGATAATTTGGGAGTTAACTTTTTCTGAGCATTTCCATCCTTTCTAGAGCGGAGATGGAGCATATCTGGTATGCTGGTCACCTGAAGGAAATACCAGCACTACGACTTCGACCATAGACCCCCTAAAGTGATGTGAAAACGTACACTATGACGATAACTGGTTTTACTCTAATCGCTGTCTTGTAGTAGGACCTGTAAGGGCATTAGTTCCAGCAAGTGTAGCTCGTTGGTTTATTGCAATATGCAAGTCTGACCACCAAGTTAAGTTAAGTAGCAGCTGCCAGTTCAGAGGTAATTTGAAATTTAGCTAGTTTACCCTCGTAAATTAAATATCTCGAAAGTGTTATTCACCTCACTCGACATTGACAAGATCTTCAGTGTTTTCAGCGTTATCCTACAGTGCTTCTTGTCAACTGCTTTTAACTGCCTCCTACCCACCTCGTAATATCATTTAAAAGTGCAGCGTGATCGCTAGCCACACTAGCATGGCTACGGACCACATTGTAAACTTGACTATGACAGAATTCGGTTAACGTCACAACACTAAGGTCTTCTCTACACTCATGGCACTTGTGCCTCTTCATGACTAAACAATATACGTTGCTGTCTTATTTCCTAAGCATATCAGTTAATCGATTAAGTCTTATTATTGTTATTATTCTCTTGGGTTCCGAGTTGGGACAGAGAGCTTCAGCAATACATCTCCGCTTCCTCTACTCTCTGTCATTCTCTTCGTCTGGGTCTATGATGGCCCATAATCTCTCGTCTTCCCTCCCCGCACGATTTACTCCATGTCATCCTCTAACTGACGAGCCACTTATCACTTCCCATTGGGATTCCACTCGAGCACTGGCGCCTGCATTTGGCGCGATATCATTCAACGGCCTCTTTATTGACGTGTGCCCGATCCACGTCTATTATCTCCCACATATTTGTTGAGCAATCGGCTCTCGCCCGTTCGGTTTGTTCATCGCCAGCCAGAGTTTCTTGTCGCTAATTCTTTCTGGCTGGTCGACTGACTGGTCATTTGATCTTCAGTATGGAGTTAACCTGTGAAGGTGCCAGCTGTTGATAAAAGTCTTCAACGTGTTGGAAATGCTCTTCATGACACGCAGTGCGAGTTTCTGACCCATATAGAAGCAGTGAATGACTTCACACTTGTTTTAAAAATCCGAATCTTGTTCCTTGTGCTGAGTGTAGAAGATTTACAAACTGTTTTCAGATTGACGAAGACGTATCTTGCCTTGCCTCTCCGAATTCTGACTGTCTGGCTTTGACATCTTCATCCGTTCCGCTGGTCTGCTTCCTAGATAAGTGAATGAGGTAATCTCTGTTTAATCTCTCCCGTTGATGGTGATTTGTGCTGGTTGTTGTTGTTGTTGTGGTGGTGGTGGTTCGTTGGTTATCTTCATCACTTCCGTTTTCTCTATGTTCACCTGGAGTCCTGTCTTTACTTCCAGTGTCTTCTGGTAGTTTGTTGCTTTTCTCTTGTAAGTCTTCGAGTTTGTATGACAATAGACATATGTCATCTGCGAAATCCAGGTCTTCTAGAATCTTCTTATTGGTGGTCCAACGTATTACTGTCTCCTAGCTCCCCATGCACAGACTGATGCATAATCCAGTCCACTTCAATTAAGAACAAAAGGTGGTCAGCTTGTCTTAATGCTGGTAAAGAGTAATTTCGACCTTTTATGAGCCAAGCAGTTCATTAATTTGCTTTCTATTTTTTAATTACGTAGTATTATTTTGAGTAGACAATAATCAATTTCACTCTCTTATTGCTGACTAATCTGCTTTTTTGTTTACCTTATAGCTTGCTCTACATCTTGTCTCTTTACTCTTGGAATCTGATGAACCATTAGCTAGTAACATATCTCGAATTGTTATCCAGGATCAATTTCTTGAAGCACTTGTCACTATAGCTCACTCACCATTACTTCGTGGTCAAGCCTTAGAAGGAATGCTACGACTGATGCGTGCTTTTGGTCAAATTCACAGAGTGGATCATGGAAATCGTCAACAATTACTGGTACGTTTCATTCTTGCCCTTTATCAGCTAATGTGATAGAAGTGATTTTGTTAGGCACTCGATTGTATATCAATTTTGATAACTTGTAGGTTCTGGTATTCACATATTTCGTATCTTTATGTGTGTACAAGCAGAGCTTCATGTTGTTGTAGGCTGAAACGTACTCAAAATTCCAGTTAGGCGTTCGAATCCCTACCCGTCTACTTCACTTCAGCTTTGAGCAGTCATGAAGTAGTATCATAGCAGCATAGGTACCTTTAGAAACAGCTGTCCCGTATTTAGATTACTGCTATAGGACTGGCTGACTGGCTAGCAGACAACAGCACCACTGGTTGATGTGAGTATGGTACACAACTACTCATCTCGGTTAATTAGTAGTAGTATTGTAATATCATGCAATCATTTGAAAATCAGCCTACACATGAATTATGAAACTACAGATCTACTTTTCACCACATTTCTTCCCATTCAACCGTAAAGTATAAATAATTATTAAAAGTATATTATAGTTGGGTGGGGGGTGGTCACTATAAGTAGCGTGTTCTCGACTCAACTGCTCATCATATCAATCAATGGCCAAAGTGTATTATCTTGTATTTTGTTTCGGACGAAGTTAAAATCAAAACTTTCAACAGACACATACATGTGGTGAGAGCTGTCTGCTAGCCACAATTGGTAGACAGCAATTTGCGTCAATGTTTACGTCCCATGTCTTGGTCATGAGAAAAAAAACAAGAACAAAGACTAATTCATCAACCAATCATTGCAGACTTTGCGTGGGTGGGTAGGGGCAGCAGGTATATGGTCTGACCTTGAAAGAAATGGACACAAAGAGATGACAGAATAACTTTCAGTGATAAAACAACCAATCAGAAGACGCTATTTCCTACTAATAATAATAACGAATAATAATGTACATAAAAATCTATAAATATTTGTTGATTTTCTCAATAAACGATCTGTTGCCTGGCCATCGTTTCTGTCGTTACATACACACACTAATATAATCTTGGACGTCTCATGCAGAGTAAGCCAATGTGACCAGGTAAATTGCACTTTATTCATTAGAGGAAATTTGTTGAATGTGGTGTAAAATGATATTGAAAAGGATATGTGGTTAGGGAAAGATTAAAGTTAGGTTTATCCTTAGGAAAGGACAGGTGAACCTGTTGGCTGGCCTAACTTAATAAGGAATAGATTCAAGGTTAGATTAAAGAAAGATAAGGGTTATGGTTGAGTAAGGGGACCAAAAGTGTGAATTGTTTTTAATTACTCATAATGGGCTGTGTGCTACTGACATGATTCATGAGCAGTGCATAAAAAGATGTTCATCAGTATAAAAATACTAAACTGCGGAGAGAGATTTGGCGTCAAAGGGCGAAAATGAACCAGCGTTGCGGCAAAACATGGGAGACACGTAAAGAAGACAAGGAAACGCAATATGAGGGAAATGCAGAAGTAACACAACACGGAAGATCTGTGCAAACGACGATTTTCAGACAAGATGTACATAATTTCCCCATATAATAGAAATATCACATTCGAAATAAACATTCTGTTGCCACGTCTCTATTCTCATCTAACGTTACAATTGTACTTCAATACTCTCAAAAGTTTTCCCTAGAGTGATGGTAGAGTATAGAAAGGCTGTCGTAAACTCTTTCCCGCTTAATTTAATTAAATTTTAGATTTTTCCGTCAATTGATTGGACCGAAGTGCTTGGTCTCAGGTTGACATGTCGGTTTCTTGTGCAGATGCTTTGACGGTGTCTGGGCATTAAATTAAAAGTTAATTGATGGTATGGTGACTGGCAGTTGAATCCAGGATAAGGCACATTTCGTCCTATTTGGTATTCATCCGCCAGCTGGATGTACTTGCATTCCTCAGTGAGTGGTGATGTTCCCACAGAGGCTCGAACCCATGCAGATACATCCAGGTGACGAGTACCAAATAGGACAAATGCGTATCCTGAATTCCATTGCTTATCACCATCCACCAATTAACTTTCTCACTTAATGCTTGTTTTTTTGTGCACAGTAAATGCTCGCAATATGCGAATTTAACTACAGGCAGATTCCGATTGTTTTACCGCCGGATTAACTAAGTGGATTTCTGTTGATCTATTCTTGCTGTCAGACTGCTGCATGCAGTCTGTATAGATGTGCTACACACTCCCAATCAGCGATGTTTAACTATCTGGCTTAAACATTTGTTTTTATTCCTTTGCATCCCAAATAGAATATAGAGTTTCAAGCCTGAACTTTGAAGTTTCAGTACTACTATTAGTGTTGATTTTGTGGAGTGTGGTTGGCTAACCTCTCCATAAACCTTCTTCTTTTCTGGTTTACTACCTGCTAGGTGTGGTTTAGAAGTGAGTCGTCGGCCAAGAATTGAACCTGTAACAAGTAAGGCGTGATTGGTGGGGGGTCATTCCACCACTGAGCTCCACCGACATTCAGATTGGAACAGTAACTACGTCGAAAAAGAATCTATTTGGAATATTTAAATTAATGAGTGCAAACGGAAGAATGACCTTGCCTTTGAGAAATATCGTATTTGATTATTTGTATTCTGGGAGTACTTAGTGGTTGGCTAAAGTGTGCGCAGTACATGCGTATTGATTAATGTTCAACAAATACTTACTTACTTTACTTTACTTCGGCTATCTCCTACGGGAGGATGAGCCGGCTTCATGAACGTCTCGAATCATCGCTGCCAGGCGCGGCAATTTGTAAGAGAGTTCATGAAGTTTCATGGAATTTGGTACGAGTGATGTCCCCAGCATCGCTCGGCCTTTTGTTTGAGAGTGCAGCTCTAGCCTTTACACAGCAAGTGTGACCTACAAGGCAGTAGGAGTGGAGTAAGGAGTCCACTATCCATTGACAGCGGTGACCGGAGTTCGGTTCATACGCCTTTTTGAATGGGGCCAGACATCCAGGGCATCCAATAAGTCCTTTGTCCATACGTCTGCCGGTGAGCTCCAGTGAGCTTCATACGCCAGTCGTTCGAGGTCTGGAATCAGGGTTTAGCCATCTCCCTAGACTGTCATCAATGGACAGTCAACCGGTGGAGAGCGCCGGGCATCAACAATTACACATGTCATATATATGTATATATTTTTGTTCTGCCTCTCTAAATCTTTTGTTTCCTCTCGATATTTAGCTTTTCCTATCACGACTACTTGGTCCTATTGAAGGCAATACTGGCACATTGTTTACACCAATTCATCATGCTGCAAATCCACCGAATCGTATCGGTGTACACCGTGATGCATTGCCTAGTTTAGCACAGTGTATTGCTGCTTTACTAGCTGAATTACCGATGAATTCATCTGAAGAGGCAATAAACCAACAAACTGGTATATTGAGTAGTGTAAATAATGTTATGGATCAGCTGTTAATATCTGTTAAGGTAAGAATCCATATGTGTATATGCCTTATCAAGTTGCTGTTGTGTTTTTGATTGGTTATGAATGAATTATTATCATTATCATTATTATTATTTAAAGCTTGATCAGGGATTGATATCAGTCAGAGAACCGACAGGGGGTACTGGGCAGTACTCTCCCATTCTAATCTGGGACTCCATCGGCAGTGCACACCTATCACATGGGTTCGGATCCAGGACCTTCTGCTCTCAAAGCACGCTTGTAGACCATTCAGCCCCTGGGATCGGACTCAATGACCAACCTATGGATTCTGATTTCCTCCAATTCGTGATTTCAGCGCGACTGGTACCAGCCAATGTCATCTCTGGCGGCGAGTATTTGTCCTCACTCCCGACCTGTTGGCAAAACTCCCTGTGACCAAAACTTCTCACTAGAGATCTCCAGGCAACTTTGTCCTGCAGTCACCAGACACTAGCGATAATTAGATTACTTTTCAAGAGTTTTTTGTAGAAATTCAATTTATGTTAAGTTTTGCCCATGGATTGATATCAGTTAGAGAACCAGGCAGTAGTGTTCTAGGATTTAGATGTTGGATGAGGAGGGAAAGTCTATTGATGAAGTTATAATGCCGTATTGATTAAGAGAGATAGCTACTCACGCGGAGCCACCATCTTACCCATGAAATTTTTTTTTAACTGACATAGGATCAAAAAGAATGTTCAGGTATTGGTTTGTAGGGATTTGTGTTTGACTGGTTACAGGATTTCATCATGATGGGCTGACATTGGTTAGAGAATCATTGGAAAACTAATAGTGGGGTTAGTGGACAGCTGTTTCATCCTAGTTTGGGACTCTTCATCAATAACTATTACTTCAGTCTGTTTCTGTACTCACTTCGGTCGCCCGTGTCTTCATTAAAACCTGTTTTACACAAAACAGCACTATTTTGTATTCCTGTGTAATTTTGTTTCTATACCCCTTGTGATGATCTATACACTCACACCTTCAAACTATGGTATGAAGTTGAAAATGATCTCCTTTTGTTACTATGTTGAACTAAATGATAATAATAATAATAATAGTGTTCATCTGGTGTTTACTAGCAACTGGCCCTACTCATTGAGCGGGTAGCTACTTGAGTTCCATTAGGAAGTCGTGACTAGTATGGTGGTACCGAAAGTCAGGTGTGAGGAAAAATACCCACCAGCGATGATATTGGCTAGTGTTAGTCGTGCTATACCGTGAATTGGCAGAAGTTAGAATTCATGGACTGGTCACTGGATTGGCAGGTCCCAGTAGTTTTAATGGTCTACGAGTTCACTAGCCTTGCAACCAAAAAGTTTTGGGTTCGAGTCCTGACAGTGAGGCGGGTGCTTCCGGCTGTCTGAGTAGTCCTAAACTAGGCTGACAAAACAGATGTTCAGCACTCTATGGTGGTTTTCCAACGGTTCTCTAATCGATGTCAGCTCATGATGAAATCCTATCACCATAATGAATGTCGTGAATCCATGGAAGTTTTTGACTATTGGTTTTTGAGCCGGCCCTACAGAATTAGGGAAAGGTGTCTGGCTTGAGTATATGCAATAAACACCCTAAGTGTTTTTCATATAATTATCATTATTATATGATTAATTACGCACCACAATTCAAGATGGCGTACAGCTCAGTGATAGAATATATATATATATATAACTTACAATAAACAAAATGATCAGTGTGTTTCAACATGCTACTTAGTTCAATCATGAGATTTACTTATTGAAAATACAATAAAATAAAAATAAATTTCATCAAGTAAAATAGTTGATGGTTTTCTAGACAATACACAATTATTAATTTTGTCAAAAAGGTCAACACATATGTGTCTATTAGAAATTACAAGTTTCCAAGTCATCATTATCATCGTTTCTAAAAATTTACCATCATAAATATTTAGTAGTTGAATAGTGAGAATTATATTTGTTTTGACGAGTTGATCACGGTTTGATATCAGTTAGAAAACCATTGAAAACCAGCTGGGAGGGGGGAGTATTGGACAGCCAATTGTCTCATCCTAGTTCGAGACTCGTCGACAGTACGCACCCACTGGGGTCTCGGACCTAGGACCTTCCCGTTACAAAAACATCTAGTATTCCATTCAACTACTGGAGCCTGTTTCCTCAATAGCCACCGCATGAATTCTATAACTTCTGTTAATTCGCACTCGACCGGATGGACTTCACTGGTAATGACTTCTCACTAGAACTTCAAGGAACGCCGTCCTATAGCAGGATGGTAGCAATGAGGTACATCCGGTGAAGTGTGAGGATGGATGCCCCACCGATGATATTGGTTAGTGGTCGCGCTAAATGCATCACGAATTGGCAGAAGTTAGAATTCATGAACCACTGATTCGGGTCCCAGTGGTTGATTATAAATATTTAAAATCTTTTAATAGTTAGTTATAACGTTGAATTCAACCGAAAATAATGCTGCGAAATAAATTCCCTGATGACAATCATTTTTGTCCGCCAGGAGTGTCCACTGTCCAGATTCCTGTTTAGTATTTACTCATGCAGTAGTTGCCTTTAATTGAATTTAGAGTGTTACTACCAAAGAAAAGTCTTATCGACGTTAGAGTATTCGGATGATTATTGTTCTCCTCTTTCGGTGTGAAGATGCTTGCGAAATCCAGACTCTTTTGAACATCACCTTGGGCAGAAATTTTCGAGTATTTGGCCTGCATGCAATCCAGTTATGTTAAATGTAAGATCATGCTGCGGAACTAGACTACAGCGACTCCCTACCCTTAAGAGACGAGGGATGAAGTGGCGGTAAAGCGCGTTGACCAACGATTCACATGTGTCGGAAGTTGTTTCATTTCACCTCCCCCTCCCCTCAACGAACTGATTGATGATGAAACGTGGACATGGATACCGAAGGTTGTTGTTTCATTTACCAACTTACGACTTATGTAATATACGGCTCTCCATTAAAAGGCATGTGCACTTTACATCAGCAGTTCGCTCCGTCCACCTTTATTACTATGAGTGAGACATGGCCATTGGAAATGTAAGATATTAAAAGGGATGGCTGTCATTGACCACCGAAGCTGATTGTTTTATTTCCTGTGTTAAGTGTTATGGTATGGAGAGAGATATTTTAGAGGTTAATACGTTGAACGTTAAGTAAGAAGGGTGAGTCAATCAATTTCGTTATGAATATGAGTAGATTGAGATGACCAGGACATATTCTATGCATCATGAGACACTTTACATTCTTTGAGGAACAATCTTAGCTGACATTGGATTAGGTTGAAGAAGTTTTAGGAGGGCAGTTAATTCAAATCTTGGAATCGGTAAATGAAGTCTTTGACAGTTTTATTTGAATCAGTCACATAGACTCCCTGGTAGGAGGGTTGCTGCGAGATGCTAATGACCAATGACTAAAGAACGATTGGTTATGTGGTTCAAAATTGCTTCTAGTAATGCGGGTACATTCACTTCTCTCTTTGTAATCTCTCATATTCATTATCTCCTCATGTTTTTCCAGGTTGCTATTCTTTCCTTTTCTGCTCATTCCAGCCCTTTTAAATCTGTGTTTCCTGTCGTTGGTTTACCTTGTTGTGGTATATGAAACATTCTGACATTTTGAAGTGTGAGATAGGCTTCTGTACAAACGTCTGCGTTGATGAACCACTCAGTCAGTCAACTACTTACACCAACTATTAATAGCTGAATGTATATTTAATCAAATTTGTGATTTGTGTAACAGTTTTGATTTGCTTTTCTCACTGCGTGAACAGAAATTATATTTTATTGATTTCGTTGGAAGAAGCGCGTTTATTGGTCATCTTAAAAAACACATTGAAGTTTGTTTGTTTAGATATTCGTGAAATGCTGGACAGTGCATGAAAATGTGACCTTTGACACACTAATATTGACCTGATGTCATATTTATTGATTTGTTCATACTATATGGTTGGAAATAATCGGTAGGAAGCCCTAGGTTTCGTGCTAGTTGGCACTCACCAGTCAGTCAGAAAGGCGTATTTGCAACCTCGAAGGAACTCATGTTCTTTCCGAGATTCGAACCCGCGTCACCTGCCAGTGCTGCAGTCAGAGACATTACCACCGTTGAGCTATTCGAGCTCTTGATTGATCCCTTGTAGGACTGTAGTGGATATTTTTTTGTTAGGACACTAGTTAGTAACTAGTGTGATGTGTGCAAAATTGACTGATAGAATTCAGTCTACGCCAAAAGTAGGACTAGACACACACACACACACACACACATTACACTAGTTACTGACCAGTGTCCAATCAAAAATATTGATTTGTTCGATTGATGAGTTTTTAGTGAATTCCTTTTTACCAATGCACATTCCATGCTGTCAAAGATTTACTCACTTGCCTAGACATGATATCCTGTTGGCCATCAATCAAAGGACATGTGTACTCCTCAGAAGTTTGCTCCGCCCTTCTCGTTTATGGCTGGCTATGAGTGAGACATGTCCATTGAAAGTAGAAGACATGAAAAGTCTGACTAACTAACTGTCTTTGATCATAGGTGTCTGTGTTCTGTCTCCCATGTTAAGCGGTATGTGTAACAGGGTGAGTATTATTGAGTTGGTTAGGTGTCGAATGCTAGGTAATGAGGCTGAGTCAGTCGACAAGACTGTACAGTTACATCGATTGAGAGAGATGGTTAGAACATGTGTTACGCAGGCATCGCCCTTAGCCATCGATCGACTTCCTCGATGACACGCAATGTTAGCTGACATAGGACAAAGAATCAGGCTGGCAAAGAGCTGGTGGTTGGTGGACAAATCAAAGCATGGCTTCATCAGTCTGTGGAATCCATAACAGTTAGTTTAAGACAGTCACGTTAAGAGGTTCAGATTTCTTGGCTGGTTGGGATCCTCGGGATGGTAAGAACCCAATATAGACTGGAGACAAGTGGTGATATGGCTGAAAATCGTTCTCCATGGCTGGTGGATATGCATTCACTCACTCTTTGTAATTTGTCATATCCAATAAATCTC